AAGGACAGGTCTCTGGGGTATTTCTGGGCTATACCAACTTGAGATGGAAACACTGGCTTTTTGTTGCTGCCTCCAAATGCCTGTCATGTGACACTGGGAGTCCTGGTGTCCCATAGTCACTCCTGAATTTCCCATTGTGACTGTGGACACGGTAGGTATGAGAGGCCCTCAGACATTTGGCAACTAAATGCCTTCCACTCTCTTCCTGTGCTCCTGTGGGGCCTCCTGGGAGTCACGAAGCCCCTCCTTCCCTCCTTCCCTTGGCTGCCTTCAGCTGTAGAGTCCTGAGTGAGTCACTTTAGTTCTCCAAGCCTCAGTTTTCTTGTCTGTGAAGTCCATCACCCCCATAACTTTGGAAGTTAAAGGACGATTAAAAGAGAGTGTCATTCAGGGCCTTGGAGGGTTTGTTTGTTTTGTTTTGGGAATAGGTTCAACCCATCCAAGATGGTGGCTCTTCTTATGGTTAAGGCCTTGGGACCTCTGGGTATACTGAGCCAGGGGAGGCAAGCTTGTGCTCATGAACAGGCTCTGGCCTTTCCTTCCTCCTGCCCTGCTTTGCTCTCTCTGCTCCTGGCTTGAGCTCCCTTCCATCACTAAGGGCAGAGTGAAGCCTGCAGCTGAGCTTGGTGGGAAAAGCTGGCTTCAGGACAACCCTTCACTTCCTCAGCTGAGCGCATGCAAATTTCCCAGCAGGCTGTGTGTGACAGCTCCCCTGCCAAGTGTGGGGGCCCTTGGACGTTTGGCAAGTAAATGTAGGCTATTCTCTTCCTGGTTTTGCTCCCTGGCTTGGTTGAAGCAAGGCCTGCCTGGAGAGTCAAAATCCCAGCATGGGACAGCTAGGCCTTGAGACTGGCAGGAGGGAGATTCACTGTCCCCCCTCATGGGAGCTGCTTGGCACCGTTTCATTCTTACCACCTATGACTCTTCAGGAGACTGCTTCTGCCATTGCCTCAGAGGTCACCTCCTTTCCCCTAAGGCCCCCAAGACCTGGCTCCCCGCACCTCCTGGAAGTCTGAGGGCAACTGGGAGACAGTATACACATCATCCATGTATACTTCACAGGTTACAATTATTGCCCTGGGTTCCTCCTTTGTTTCCCCCCTGAGCACTATGGCCAAGCTAACACTGCAATGGTGATGATAGTGGTGATGGTGATGATAGTGGTGATGGTGACAGTGATGATAGTGATGGTGATGAAGATAGCAGTGGTGATGGTGATGATGGTGATTGGTGATGATAATAATGATAGTGGTGATGATGATGGTGGTGATAGGGGTGATGGTGATGGTGATTGGTGATGATGGCTATGGGAGGTATCTGTCTGATGGGCAAAGTCCTTCTGTGTATATGTTGTCCTATTAGTTGATTAAATAAAGCACTGTTGGCCAATAGGGAAGCAAGATAGGTGAAACTAGGAGTCGAGGAGGGTTTCTGGGAAACAGAGGCACAGTCAGTCACAATGTAGGACGCCAGAGGAGTAAGAGGTCTGGACCCTTTCTCTGGTAAGAGAAAATCAAATACTCAGATTAGCAGTTATCGGTTAATAATTAAATCAGAGCTAGCTGATAAGAAACCAAGCAAATGGCCAAAAGCTTCATAATTAATAGTGTTTCGTGTGTTATTTGGGGGCTGAGACAGCTGCGGGACCCAGGCAGCTGGCAGGAAGACTACACTTTACATCTGTCTGTCCTGTTTTTTGTTTGGTTGGTTTGGTTTGGTTTGGGGTTTTTTTGTTTTGTTTTGTTTGTCAACCAGATACTAGAGTTAACTGGGAAAAGGAACTTCAGTTGAGAAACTGTCTCTATCAGATTTCCTGTAGGCAAGTTCCAGCAGCATTTTCTCTATTGATAGAGGTGGGAGGGCCCAGCACATGGGGGGAAGGGGTTGAGGGGTGGGGTAAGGGTAGTTCCACCATAGTCCTGGGTGGCATAGGAAAGCAAGCTGAGAAATCAAAGGAGGGCAACAAGCAGCACTCCTCCATCGTCTCTGCTTCAGTTCCCGTCTTGCACTCCTGTCCTGATTGTCCTTCAGGAAGGACTACAGCTGTAGGCTGAAACACCCTTCCCTCCTCCAGCTGCCTGTGGTTGTGGTGTTTACCACAGCAATAGAAAGTAAGCTAAGACGCTGACCCACCTCTGCCCCTTGGAGGCTGCTGTCCTCTAGTACCAAGTAACTCGAAGGGCCCCTTGGGTCTAGGAGAGACTCTGCAGCATAACAAAGCAGGGGAGGCCCTCTCTAATTACTGTCAGAATAAAAAGTGTCTGGTGACCCTCGGGTCCTGTTCCATTAGCCCAGGTCTCCATTCTTATGTCTGCCCTGCACCCTCACATCTGCCGTGTACACCTCCGCATCTGCCAGGAACGCGGAGTTGTCACAGCATATACTGGAAGCCAGGCACCCAGCAGAGGAGGAGAGGCCCAGACGGGGAAGAGGGTGGGGAAGGCCTGAGAATGAGTGCTGAGACAGGGGAGTGGCCTGTAGGGTGTCAATGGCCATAAGATGGCCTCATGGGAAAGCTGACTGTTCAGGGCTAATGAGAGGCCTGGTGTCTAAGGATGGAGTATGGTAACAAAGGAGAAATTAAGGTTCAGCAAAATTAAGTCACATAATGTAGAGTGTAGCCTTCCTTGCCAGCCGCCTAGGCCCTGCCACAGTTGCAGTCCCCAAATAACTCACAGGACACTATATTAATTATGAAGCTGTTGGCCGTTTGCTTGTTTCTTACTGGCTATCTCTATTTAACCCATAATTGTTAATCTAAGTATTTCTCTTATCAAAGAAAGGGTCCGGACCTCTTACTTCTATGGCGGCTACATGATGTCTGCCTGTGTTTCTCTTTGCCAGAATCCTCCTCAACTCCTAGTCCCACCTATCTTGCTTCCCTATTGGCCAACAGTGCTTTATTGACATACACACAGGACTTCCCCGTCAACATAACAAACAGTGGGCCCAGAACTTGGGACCATGGGGCTTCACCCCCATGCTTTGCTGCTGCTGCTGAGGCCTGCTGCCCATGGGAGTGGCTGAGTGGAAGGCTCACAGAAGCTCACAAGAGCCATGGAGTCCTCTGTCTGCATACACTCAGAAGCCAGAGGTCCCACAGTTCTGCAGTGGGGCCCCAGTGAGCTGTCGTAGTGAGAGTCTGGGCCTCCCCAGCCAACTGAGGGCAAAGCCAAATCATGACTAAGCTAGCAGCTGTGTGTGGGAATCCACTCATACCTGATGGCTCACCTTATTGTCAGCACACTCCCAGGCACTGTCTCTCATCCATAAATGAGGAAACACTGCTTCAGATGGGACTTGAAGCTTAGCAGACTCTCACAGGAGCAGATGACAATGCAGGAGCCAGGAACCCAGGTCTGCATGGCTCTCACCCTAGTTTACCTTTCAACAGAGCAAGGACCAAAAATGGAAATATGCCCAGAATGGAACTCTGGACGAGTCCACTCTTGACAGACTCCATGAAGTCCTGCTGTGTCCATGGGTTCTGCTCATCAGTAAAGCCATGTTGAGTCAGGATAGCAGAATAGGGTATGGAGTGGTGATGAAGCAGATGTACATTCTGAGCAGAATAAAAGTCCAGGCTGGAAAGGGTTCCGTGGTTAAAGAATGTTATTATAGCTCACCCAGAGGACCTGGATTCAGTACTCAGGGCTTACTTCAGAGATCTTACAACTGTCTGTAATTCCAGCTTGGGGGATCTAATGCCTTCTTCTGGCCTCTGCAGTCACCTGTACTCATGTGTACATGTGCATGCACGCAGACACACACATACACACACACACACACACACACACACACACACACACACACACACACACACGAATTGCTAAAAAAACTTAGGAAGACCAGAAGTCCATAGGAATAAAGAAAGACACAAGGGTATATTGCAATGTCAAGATTTCATAAACCTGGGACATCTGTTCTCTGTGTGTTCCTGAATCACTCTACATTTGATTTTATTTTTAAAGCTGTATTTTTTTTTACTTTATGTGCATGGGTGTTTTGCCTGAGTATGTGTCTATATGTGAAAGTGTCCAAGATTATTTTCTAAACATGACATTTTATGACATGACTGCTGCCTGTAGTTATAAAGAGAAGGTTCTGGATGAGATGCAAAGGGGGAAAAACCAGGGACAAGTCTTCCTGGAAATCCCCCTCACCTCCTCCTGAAAGACAGTGACCTCATCTGACTTGGTATCTTCGCATAGAGGGAGCAGCCAGCCCTCCTTGAGCCTTGGCAAGGAACCCTGTGAAACATCAGGCAGGCTCTGTGTACAGAGCTCTGTAGGAGGAAGTCTATGCCGCCATGAAACATGTGACTTACTAGAGGCGCATACAGATGAGGTAATAAAAGGGCGGTTTACCACACCGCTAACCACACCCACTTTAGGCAGGACTAAAGACGTATACGGCTGGACATAAAGACGTATACGTATGTAGGCAGAACTACGTCACTAGCCAAGCCCACTTTTGGGCATGGCTAGGGGCGTTACGGGGGAAGGCTAATGTTGCCATGCAGATTCTCTTTCCCCCAGGGCACTCTGTGCCTACTTTCCCTGCTGTCTGGGGCCATTCCACCTCATATTAAGCTAGGCGTACGGGTGATAGTCTCCCTACTCTATAGAAGAGGAAACCGAGGCTTGGAGAAGCTCACAGTCCGAAACCTGACTAACGTCAACCTCAGAGAGTAGCAGAGATGCGAAGGATGAGACTCCAGAATTAGAGCCCTTAAAAAATCCCCCTGGCCTCCCAGGGGGAAAAAATAAAACTCCAAAGGTCCTGTTTTCTTAAACATCTTACTAGGAAAATACCAAAGGTCTAGCAAATAGATACAGTGAATCTAGATGATGTCACCACCCAGCTTCGAAGAAAGACTTAAATGATTCGGGAAAGGGACGGGGTGCCTAGGAAGATGGATGAGCCCCACAGCCACAGGCCTCAACAGGTGCGCGCGTGCATGCATGCGCACGCGCGTGCCTAGCACATGCGCACATGCCCATGCTCGCACAGACCTCCAGGCTCCACTGGGGCAGCCTCTGGACTGGTCCCCAACGTTGATGGGGAACCGCAGCTGCCCTCCCCCTCCCGCCCCCACGGGTGCCTTCCTCCTTCCTCTTTCTACTACTGCCCTGCCATTTCCCAGGCGGCTTCCTTATAGGTCTCAGGTTCCCCTCGGAGGCTTTGAGGTCTGGGCTTCTCTGGAGGACATGGCTTGGGGCCCTGACAACGTGCGGAAATGGTCAACCCTGGCGCTGCTGGCCATCATGGGCACAGCTCTGACAGCGGCCGTCAACCCTGGCTTCGTGGCCATAATCTACCAGGAGGGTCTGAACTTCGGTAATTGGATGCCTTTCTCCCTTCCTCCCTTATCCTGAGGGGCACTCATTGAGCACTTAGGATGCACAGCCATTTAAATCTGGTGCCTGGCAAGCTCATAGCTCTGCTGGGGAGACCTCTTTCCACTCTTTGACATAGGCACACGCTCACAAGGCTGAGCAGTGGCAGAGCTGTGACTGGACCACTATTCTAAAAGATTCCAAATGTCCCCGGTCCCTGAAGGTCCTCAAGGTCCCCTCTCTGAACACTGTCTCCTGGCGCAAATTTCTAGGCCCTTTCTTTCCGACGTCTGCCTTGCCTCATTAGGTTGAGCAGGCTAGGTGAGGGTCTCTCCAGTGAGATGTCCAAACTCAGCTGGCCGACTACCCCAGACTACTTCCCCAAGCCCAGGCAGGTAACAGCTCCACTCACCTGCTTCGCTGCCAGGTGCCTCACAGACCCTCCGGGTCCCGTTTCTTCCACACCCGAGTCGCCCAAGAGGCTCTGGGAGGCGCGCACCTGCTTTTGAGCTCAGGTCCTCGCTGAGCCCTCCAAAGAACTTTTTGGTGCTGCCCCCCGGTGATAGACAGAGGAACTGCTCAAACCAGACCAAGCAGAGACAGGACCTCAAAATCAGTGTGCACTGGCCCAGGCCCCAGGAGATTTGCTTTCCTACTCCAGAACTCATGTTCCAGCCTAGACAGGACGGTTCAGAATCTCAGCGATGCAGACAGATTCCCCCATTGAGCTTCGAGGGTTATGTTTAAATCCAAAGCTGGTGTGTGTGTGTGTGTGTGTGTGTGTGTGTGTGTGTGTGTGTGTGTGCTTGCGTGTAGCACATGTCCTCATAAGGGTACATGTGTGTGGCAGCTTCAGGGAGCAGAGGCTCAGCAGAAGTCCTCACAACCGCCTCACTTTTCTCTTCTGCTGGTGTCCCATGTGGCAACTGGAGTGAGGTTTTGAAAGAGCAGCAAGCCTGTTCATGAGTGTGCCTTTCTCCCCACCCCCACCCCCATGTTGCACACCCAAAGGCTGACCCTGGGGCCTGAACTCAGGGAACAAGACGCCTGCATTTTCATCCTGCCTCTGACTACCTCATCTGTGGGCTCTGGAACAGCCCTGGTCTTCCCTAGCCTGTTTCCTCTTGTGGGAGATGGGAGGGGTGAGAGGATCCTCTTCCAAGGATTGCTCAGCAGGCAGCAAGCAGAGCCTGCTGGACAGGAAGACCCCGTGCATTTTATTGTTGCTGTTGCTGGTTATGACTAAGTCCCAGTTGGCTCCTGGGAAACCGGAAGCCTGTTCACGGCTCACCTCTCTGCCTCCCTCCTCTCCCCTCAGGCAACATGTTTGCCTGTTAATTGGATCCTTGATGCTGTCAGCCACCTCATCACTGGTGGCAGAATTCCTGCCTTTGGGGCATTCATTTATTTATTCAACAAATAGTAAGCGCCAGGCACCACTGTAAATACCAGAGATGCATTAATACATAAAAACTGCCTCCAACTTCTGGGGACTTTCATTTAGCAAAGGAGAGTGACATCAGTGAGAGTCATTGTGAATAGATTCCTAATTACAAAGGAAAATGGGTGCTTCAAATGACACATCCAAGACTATGAGGATAGTAATATCTGTGTCAGGGAAGCTTCCTGAAGGAAGTTAGAAGTTGAGCAGTTGACTACAGACGGATAGCAGGAGTCGTGGGGGCAAAGGTCCGTAGCAATTGTCTAGAAGAATGAGGCGGGTGTCAGTGGTATGGAGAGTAAGGTATGGAGAAAGATGCTTGGCTGGCTGTTTGGGGTGATATAGCTGACGAGGGCTCACAAACTACTGCCCACAGACCCAATGTGGCTTGCTATATATTTCTATATGACCTGTGAGCTGGTAAGGTTTTTGTTTGGGGTGTGTGTATGTGTACACGATCATGAGGGTGAACACACAAGTGTGGGTTTATCTGGGAGCCAGGGGAAACCTCAGGTGTTGTCCCTCATGCACTTTGGGGGGGCATTCTCCATGTTCATGTGTGTATATGGGCACACATGGTGTGTGTGTGAGTGAGGGTCTCCATGTGTCATGTGGATACCAGAGGTTGACACTGGGTGTCTTTCTTAATCACTCTCCATTTTACATGTTGAGGCAAATCTTTAATCCAGCTCATTGATACAGCTATTCTAACCAGTCAGCTTGCACTGGGACCAATGTCCCTACCTCCTGTGCACTGACATTACAGACAAGTCTCCATTCCATCCAGCATTTATGTGGATTCTGGGAACCTGGGCTCTGCTCCTTATGCTGTGTGGCAGTCACTTTAACTACTGAGCCATCTCTGCAGGCAGTTTTAGAGACAGGGTTTTGCAATACGGCCTTAAATGCAAGCTCTCCTGCCTCAACATCCCCAGTGCTAGGACTGCAGGTCTTTGTGGTTCAAACAGCTGGGGGAAAATCAGAAGAAGGATGGCGTGTGGATGACTATTTCGGGATTCCCGATGCAGTGCTGGAGCACGGCCCCATTTCTGCCTTTGCCGGATGAAGTGGCTCAAGGTGTGGGAGGAGCCGGTGAAGCACAGGCTCAACACAGACCCTGCCCCACCCTGCCCATCCCACTGTCATCATCGAGGTCAGGCCCAGGGGTCTGGAGCCTCCAGGGCTGCTCTGAGCCTGTCTCTGCTCTGTCCTCCAGCATGCCGGGAGGCTGTGGCCGTGCTGCAGAAGGAGCTACAAACCATCAAAGTCCCCGACTTCTCCGGAGTCTTTAAGATAAAGCACCTGGGAAGAGGTTACTATGACTTCTACAGGTGAGGCTTGTTGAGGCTTACTCCTCTAGATACGGGTCCCGGGGACTTGAATCCTGTGGCCGCCAAGTTCTCAGCTCATGGACTTCAACACTCCAAACCCAGCCTGCACACCAGCCCAAGGGGAAATGGCACCTCAAGCTGAGCCTGGATGAAGCCACCAAAGTTTTCTTTCCAGCACCCCTCCACTCCCACAGGAGACATCATGAAACCCAAAACCCCGGGCTATACACGTGTATTTCAAGGACAGACAAATGGCCTGTGCCGGAATCTATGACCTCACAGGACTGGGTAGTTCAGCCCAAGGCCCGCTTGTGCCAGGCTTATGTGCCACTGGGACCATTGGTCTCTCTTGCCACCTCTCTGTGTCAGGTTCTCAATTCTCCAGAGACAAGCTAGCCACCAGGTAATTCTAAGCGCACAACCCCCTCCACTCTACTCCAGGAAGAAGCCTTCTCCTTGCAACACAAGCCAAAGCTCTGAGGTATACTCTGATTAGCCAAGTGTAAATAATGGACATGCCCCTGAGCCAATCACTGTGCCAGAGGAGTAGAAAAACTAATGAGCTAAGCTTAAGTCCCACCCCAGAAAGACAGGTGGGTTCCTAGCATGGAATGGGCGAGGCAGCTCCCAAAGTACACTTGCAGGTCTCCTGCCCCAAGAAAGGGGGCCAGGCTGCTGGACAGAAAACCCCCAAGTGTTTCCTACAGAATTTTATGCCCAGTCCATTCAGCAGACATCTGAAGCACCTACTATGTGTCACAGTAGCAGCTTTCACATTCCAGCAGTGAGAACAGGCATACCTATTCCATCCTATACAAAGCCCTCAGGCAAGTCTGCCATCTTTGTTGACAGTCACTCACGATGTGTCCATTGTGAACCCAAGGAGACTTAGACACAGAGACACCAAATGGCACATTCAGTGTGGCATTGAGTGAAGCCCTCCTAGCCCAGGACACTGACTGGAACTTTCTCCCCTGCAGTATGGCTGTGGATGGATTTCATATTCCTAATCCCCAGATCAGTTCGCTGCCCACTGATGGCCTCCAGCTGTCCATCCAGAACGCCGACATCAAGATCAGCGGAAAATGGAAATCAAGGAAGAACTTCCTGTGAGTCTCATGCGCAGGGGTTGCTGGGTAGACTGGTGGCACTTGGGGGCATCAGAGCCAGGGATGTCCACTTCTGCCTTGTCTATAGACATGTGTCACCACGGGGTCCCTGGTGGGGTTGTCACTTAAAAACGGAACACTGCTTGAAGAGCCCAGTTGGTTCACATCCCAGTGCAGGGCGTGGCAAGGCTGAGTCGGTGTGTGTGGCTCAGAAGGGAAGGCTAGGTAGGACTTTTGGTTTTTGTTCTGTATTAGCCAACTACTGCTTGTGCATACCAAACATCCCAATCTCAGTGGCTTGAAACTGTAACTGTGATGCATTGTCCGTATCTGTGTATCAGCTAGGCCCAGCTGAGGGGTGTGGCTAGGGTTAGGGTTAGGGTTAGGGTTAGGTGAGGTCCTGTGTGCTGCCCAGAGCATAGTCTTAGTGATAGAAAAAGTACAAAAGGCAGAGCTGACCATGCATATTCTTGTCCCGTGTCTTAAATAAATTCACTTCACTCCTACAGGGGCAGTGACTAATTAAGTTCATTCATCAGTAGTAAGTTCATACTACTGGGTCAGTAATTGCTTAAAGTCATGACACCAAACACTCAGATTTTTAGTGACAAAAGTAAGATGTTCAGCTGTTAGTACAAGGTCTGTGTGAAGAAACGGACACTCAGAGAGGTTAAGAAACATGCTCAAAGCCACACAGCGAAGGGCTAGAGGGTGGGGTGGCAGAGTACCAGGTGAAAACAGGTTGGGGTGTCAGGTTACAACCCTGACATCCAGCATTGCCAGGTTTACACAGCTGCCTCTCCTCTCTGAGGCACCCCTACCTCTGGAGTGGGGCAAACAGGGAACCTGAGGTCCCCGCTGACGGGAGAAGTATGAGGGAAGGATTCGATCCAGGTCACTCCTCTCTGCCTCCCTTTCAGCAAAGCCAGTGGCAAGTTTGACCTGGATGTTCAAGGTGTCTCCATCTCCGCTGACCTGAGGCTGGGCAGGAACCCCTCAGGCCACATCACCGTCCAGTGCTCTGCCTGCAACAGTCACATTGACAGCGTCCATGTCAAAATCTCAGGCAGCATGCTGGGGTAGGTCTCCAGGGCCTGCAGTCCCAAGAGGAGACTGTGCCCCCAAACTCCCTTCCTCAGAAAGTAGGCTCACCCCCACATGGACCTACAGACCTTTCAGAGCCTTGGATGTGTGGGGGGCAGGGCCTGGGGGCACGGGGAGCAGACACCATCTCAAGGTACAGGTCAATACTGACAGATGTCCATATTCCAACCCACAATCACCTACGAGACTGGCTGTGCCCCCGAAGCCTGCACAGACGATGGCAGGCATTACTGCCATGCAGTAGTCAAGACAGGCTGTCTGACCCTAGCCTCTCGGGCAACCCAGTCTGTTTTCCTAAAGCACCAGGCCCATGGGGGTGGGGGGCACCTTAGTAGTGTTATTACATCAGGGAAGGGCTCACGTAGGGCCATAAGAACCTACACTTAGAAAAGGTACATAGTGCCCCAGACACACAGAACTGGAGGACCTGGACCAGACTGGGGGCAGGAGGAAATGACATTTGAACTGAGATGAAAGGAGTGAGTAGGTAGAAGCTGGTGATGGGGTATTTTGGACAGGGGGACACATGTGCAGACTGTGGTGAGAGGAAACACAGAGAATCAGGGAACAAGGCTCGCCAATGCCACTGCTTTACCGATTGACAGGGTCACGCAGGGGTGGATATGGGATGGGGCAGTTGTCTGTAGCTATTAAGAAGATAGTTCTGTAAACAGGTTGCTAGAAATGGGGAGACATGTCTAATGAAGGCTGCATGACCCAGGGCTAGCTGCCAGGGTTCCCAGGCACACCTGAAACTCCCTTGTGTGTCCCCACATGTCAACCTGCAGGTGGCTGATCCAGCTATTCCACAAGAATATCGAGACTTCCCTGAGAAACACCATTTATCAGAAGGTAGGAGAGTATCAGAGGTGGCAGAGCAGGGCCTCGGAGTGACACCTTGGCCTTCATCCCCACCCCTCAGCATCCGTAGAGCATTTAAATCCACAGCTTTCTCTCCAGAGCCCAGCCAGTGCTTCACAGAGAGTCCCGCAGAGAGCTGGGGGGGCAGCCCCTACCCGGCAAGCCTTCCTGTAACTGCCTAGCCGCTTCTGTTTACCCCACCCCAGCGCCTTCACAGAAGAACAGCCAGCCTTTGCTGTCTCCCCCTAGGCACCCGCCCTCCTCTCCCCTCCCCTTCCCTCCTCTCTCTTCCCTGGTGCTGCCCTAGAACACGCAACACCAAGGAAGATGAGGAAGATATTGCATCTACGTTATTTCTTGCTGCCACTAGGAGAGATCCCCATGGAGTGTGGAGCAGGGCGATGGCGGGGTGCAGATGGCAGGGTGTCCCCCGTGCTGAGGGCAGACATAGCTTAGCACAATTCCAAGGACCCTCTGTGTGCACTCTGGCATTGGGTCCCTAAAGATCATCACCAGCAGGGTATCCTGCTTGGCAGCAGCCCTTGCTTAAGGAAGTGATGTGTCAAGTGCCCCAAGGCTGCAAGTGGGCCTGAGCAGGCTGGAGTGGGCGGGGAGCCGGCCAAGAAGGTAGCTGAGGCCATGGGATGCTCTACGAGAGTGGTTGATTTGGAGCCCCCTACTGGCCTGGTGGGTAAGCAATGGGGCAGTGGGAGCAGGCGGCATCTGAGGGGCAGTCGGAGGGTTCAGCCTGGGCCAGTGAGAAGCGGCACAACAGCCTCAGAGAAGGATGGCCCGGTTCCTCTGGGGACTTCGGGGCCTCCTGTGGCAGAAGCACATTCCAGGGGCAGCTTCTCCACCCCTCCCCTTTTCCCCTTCTTCCTTCCTAAGTTCTATATTCCTACCCACCGCCCCCTCTCTCCCTACTTTGCTGAGCTCCACTGGGAAGCCCCAGGCTTTGGAGCCTGTCCTGGAACTCACTCTGTAGACCAGGCTGGTCTTGAACTCACAGAGATCCGCCTGCCTCTGCCTCCCCAGTGCTGGGATTAAAGGTGTGCACCAGCACCACCCGGCTCAGTCTGTATGTTTTAATTGAAGAGTTAAGACCATTTACGTGTGTGTGTGTGTGTGTGTGTGTACTCGTGTTGTGAATGCAGACACACTTGTGCCACTCTGCCCATGTTGAATCAGAGGACAACTCAGATAGGTATCCATCCTCCCTCTCCACTATGTTTGAGATGTGCATGCCCTTGGTCACTTTTCTGCTGCATACACCAGGCAAGGTGACGCTCAAGCTTCTGGGCTCTTTTCTGTCTCCACTTTCCATCTCTCCATAGGAAGAGTTCCAGGTGCTTCTGCTACCTGCCCAGCTTCTACATGGGTCCCCGGCATTCAAACTCAGGCCCTCACTCTCGTGTGGCAAGCATTTTTACCACTGAACCCCACATTTAGGGTTGGCCCCAAGAGATGCACACTAAGTTCTTTTTTTTTTTTTTTTTTTTTTTTTTTGGTTTTTTGAGACAGGGTTTCTCTGTGGCTTTGGAGGCTGTCCTGGAACTCGCTCTGTAGAACAGGCTGGTCTCGAACTCATAGAGATCCGCCTGCCTCTGCCTCCCGAGTGCTGGGATTAAAGGCTTGCGCCACCAATGCCCGGCCTAAGTTCTTTTTTGTTGTTGTTTGTTTGTTTGTTTATTTATTTATTTATTTATGGTTTTCTGAGACAGGGTTTCTCTGTGTGGCTTTGTAGACCAGGTTGGCCTCAAACACATGGAAATCCGCCAGCCTCTGCCTCCTGAGTGCTGGGATTAAAGGTGTGCTCCCCCTTGACCTGCACACACTAACTTCTTTTTCTTGAAGACTTTCTAGTTTACTGAGCCAAGGCTGAGTCTTTCTGTCCACTCACTGGTTATTCTCCTAAAGAAACATGAGAGATGTATCCTTGCCCAAGCTCTCGGACTGGTACATGTCTCTACTGTGCTCTGCACACACACACACACACACACACACACACACACACACACACACACACACACACACACACACCCTAGTTCCTCTAAGTATCGCCTGAAGCACTGGTTTAGTAGGAAGAATGGCTTCAGTTTGAGGATGTGTAGAAGGTCTTTATTTCTCTTTTTGTTGCCCCAGGTTAGCTTTGCTGGGTAGAGCTCTTGGCTGGAGCTCTTTGTTTCAGGGTGGGAAATGCATCACCGCTCTCCCCCCGTGCCTTGGGGGCTTCTGCGGTCAGGTGTGCCTTTGCTCTGGTAATTTTGCCTTTGTAAGCACCTTCTCTCCTGCAGTCTCTGGGGTTCTTTATTTGTTCCGGCTTCTTGGCTTCAGCTACAATATGATCAGAGATGGTTCTCTTCTGGTAGGGTCTACACGGTGTTCCAAGTACCTAGTGTACTTAAATTTCATTTCTTTCCCCAGATTGGGGGAATTTCCTGCTATAGATTTTTTAAATTGAGTAGGTTTCTCACCCTAGCTCTAGGAAAGTTTTACATGCAGGAAAAACACGGGAAGCAGATATTCAGGCAATGTAGTCTTACACGGTTAACTGTTTCTGAGCTTACAGTGGCCAAAGGCAAAAAGGAAACTTGATTAGCTGCATGATTTTTAAGAAGACACTAAAGGAAGAGAAAGAGAGTCTCCACAGAGTTCATGTGTTAGACACTTGATCACCAAATTAATCTGTTGGTGGTGTTTAGAGGTGCAGCCTGTGGGTGGCAAGAAGGTTAAATGAGCCCCCATGATGGCCTTGGTGGCTTTATAGGAAGAGGCAAGGGACCTAAGCTAGCATGCCTCTGTCTTGCCAAGCTCCATTCTCTACTGTGTTACAGTCTGGAAGCCTCTTAGCAGATGCTGCCCACTTGTGGTGGACTGGAAGGAACCATGAGCTAAATAAACCCATGTTCTCTGTAAATTACTTGGTCTCTGGCATTTTGCTATAGCCACAGATAAAAGATGATATCTGGACTCATTTGTGGAGGGCCCTTTCCACTTGTGAAGCTCACTGGCATTTCTTTGGTTGGCCCTAGATCTGCACGATCGTGATCAACTCTGTGTCCACAAAGCTGCAGCCTTATGTCCAGACTCTTCCAGGTAAGGGCTGGGAGTGGACTGAGGATGGAGAGGGGATATTGGGGGCTGGAAGGGAGGCAGAGTGACCAGAGCAGGCCCGAGTCTGGCGGTGAGGTCAGGCTGCAGTCCTCCCCAGCGGGTACTGGGCCAGTTCCTTGTGCCTCCAGAATGAAGTAGAAGGCAACTGCTTCCTCCAGTCGGGCAGAAGGCCAACACCCAAGCACTCGAGTGCCCCACACCCTGGCATCCCAACACCCCAGCACCCCCTCACCCTGGCTCTCTGAGACCAGTGACACACACAACCTGGGATGAGAGACTCCCCACTTCTCTCTAGACCTCAGTCTCCACACCCTGAAAGGGGAACAATATCTTTATACACAACAAATGGCAGTGAGCAGCTGCTGCTGCTGGCGGGCATCCTCCTGCCCCAGCCTCCTCACTAAGATTCAAGAGAGGGGCAGATACTTGTTTGAAGTCCCAGGGCCATCTAGAAGAGTCCAGATCCCAGTGTGGAGATAAATTTCATTTTTTTGGCAAATTTTAGACATTTCTATGATGTGTTTTACTCACATCCACTGTAAGTTGGGATCTCCCCCTTGTGGACTGAAGCACCCCAGGTTCATAATGAGTGATCCAGTGCAGGACCAAAGAACCACCTCCCTCCCTCCCTCCCTCCCTCCCTCCCTCCCTCCCTCCCTCCCTCCCTCCCTCCCTCCCTCCCTCCCTCCCTCCCTCCCTCCCTCCCTCTCTCTCTCTCTCTCTCTCTCTCTCTCTCTCTCTCTCTCTCTCTCTGTGTATGTCTGCAGCCCAGGCTAACCTCTAACTCTCAGCAATCTGGCTGACTTCAAACTCCTGCCTCTGCCTCTGCCTCCCCCATGATGGGATTACAAGCTTGTTGCTCCCTCACTGAGCCATTGCAATCTGAGAGAGAGAGAGCAGACAGACAGACAGACAGACAGACAGACAGACAGACAGACAGACAGAGTACATGTGTACATGAGTCTGGGCACTGAACCCAGAGCCTAGCAGTGGCTCACTAGGTGCTCCAACCCAGTCTCCAACACCAGACTTCACTTCTTTTATGGGAATCTCAGGGAGATCCTGTGGGGGTGATGGAAAGAGACCACAGTTCCCCTTGTGGCCATACAGGCTACTGCCATTGGAACCAGCTCACAACCCATCTTCTCTGTGTCTAGTGATAGCGAGAGTGGATGAAATGGTCGCGATTGACTACAGTCTACTGACTGTGACAACCACACCTGAGCTCCTGGAGGGGCAGCTAAAGGTGAGGCTTCCACAGAGACAGGTATCTGTTCAAATATGAGCCCCGTAACCCTGGAAACTGACCTCTTCCTGCTTGCTTTGCCCCATTCCACACTCCCCTGCATCCCCAGCTCCAGCCCTGCTGGCCATCAGCATCCCAAAAACTCCCAGTACCTGCCCCCTGCCCAGGGCCTTTGCACTGCCTTGCTCTCCCCTCTGCCCAGGGCTCTCTGCAGCAGATAAGCGCACTGCTCTCCCTGCTTCCTTCCAGTTCTTGGTCAAATAGGCCTTCCTAGGGATGTCTTCCCAGGGATGCTTTCTCTAACCACTCACCTGAATAGCCCTCGCCACTGTACCCCAACACTGCCTTTTTCTCAGCAGAACTAATTACCCCACACACACACCCTATGGTGAGAGAGGGGCAGGGACTGCTTCAGTCACTAATGTTTGTACAGTTCACCACTGTGTATACAGCACCTGGAAATATGTTTGGTGTAGGGTCAGTGCTCAGGAAACTTGTTGGATGGGAGGGAGGGAGGAAGGAAGAAAAGGTAGGTAAGACAACAGAGGGTAGAAAAGGCGTGACATTGCCTAACTCAGCATTTCTCAACTTTCCAATTCTGTGAACCTTTAATACAGTTCTTCATGTTGTGGTGACCTCTCAACCACACAATTGTTTCATAGCTACTTCATAACTGTAAATTTGCTATTGTTATGAGTCATGATGTAAATATCTGATATGCAGGATATCTCATATGTGATTCCTGTGGGGGTGGAGACTGACAGATTGAGTACTGGCCTAAACCATACCATCCAGAAATAAGCCCCATCAAGACTCATGGAGACACCCCAATCCTTCTCTATCTACAGCAATACAACATACACAGAGAGAGCCAGGTGGGAGATCAGACACAAAGAGAGACAGAGACAGCGCGCGTACACACACACACACACACACACACACACACACACACACACTTCATGATACTCCTGTAAGCATTGCTATCCATCACTGAGCCAGCGGAGCACAATGTGGACAGCTCCTAAGCCCCCCCACAAAAATGTCTCCTGTGACCTTTCACTGGTGACTCTGTCCTTCAGTGAACAGCCAGAATAAGGCCCCTGGAACAACTTGACTTTTTTCAGGTGTCCCATGCAGCTAACCAGAGCTGCAGTTGGTACTGAATCACGCCCATTTTGTTCACTGTGTGGCATGCTGGTTCCTAAATGGACAAGAGTTTTATTCATATGATGGGAAAGTGTGAGTAGGCAGCCTGGGTCTCTAGCTCTGGGGACATTTGTGGGCTGGGACCTGGAGAGAGGGGATGGAGGTTAGCCAGGAGCAGATGGAGGATGGAAAAACAAGGAACTTGGGGCAGGTGAAGCTGCACAGTGATCCAGGAAGAAGGAGCAGGCAGCTGAGTGCGCAGATATCAATCACCCTGACAGCTCTCTGTTCACTCGTGACTACTCTGTAGAGGTGCTGGGCAAGACTGAATACTCCAAGCACCCACATACACACAAGAGTGCACACATACACACAAACACATGGATGGACCACATGCATACATATACATACACATAGTGCACACAGGCACATACATACCTATGGCATACACACATGCACACATATATACACATGCATACATGTACACACTTGCACACATATATACATATACACATATACAAATACACACACATCTGCTCTTGGTTGATGACCTGTTTTGCATGGGGATTGGTGCTGTCCTCCTTATAATTTTCTCCTAAGGTTGAGTATTAAAGTTAGTGTCCACTATCTTTAAGAACTTCCTGGCTTTCTGGGTGTGGTGGTGCATGCCTTTAATCCCAGCACTTTGGTGGTAGAGGCAGGAGGATCCTTTTGAGTTCAGTCTGGTTTATACAGTAAGTTTCAGGCCAGCCAAGGCTACATAGAGACCCTGTCTCAAAAAGAAGGAAGGAAGGAAGGAAGGAAGGGAGGAAGGAAGGGAGGAAGGAAGGAAAAGAAAAGGGAAAAGGGAACCATGTGGCGTTTCGTAGTGTGGGCCACAAGGACATTAAAGGACAGCACGAGTTGCTCAGAGAATGGGCCTGGGCTGTAACTCAGTGGCACTGGGCCCACCTGGATGAATGTCACTAAAGGTTCAGCGGATTTTCCCCACTACCCTCCTGCCCACATGAGGCACCACACTGACTATGATGTTTGTCTTTTTTGTGCACACTTTAGACTTTCTGTGCTCTTTAAGTTTTACATAAGTGGTATTCTACCAAATGTATCTATAATTTGATTTTCTGAGTTAGACATTCCTTTTCTTTCTAAACAAATGTTCTGCTTTCACCACGCTTTGTCAAAGTGCTTTTTAGAGACACAGGAAACATGTGTCCTCCCAGCTGCACGTAACACTTACCAAAAACACACACTTCAGCCTTCCTCATTCTGCTAATGGGACGGGGGAGGCAATCTGTAGGCCACTGTTCTTTCATTGGCTGCTGAACCGACTGGCAAGAGGGAGGTGGGATGGTGCAATGGGAGGTGCTGGCTGGATGCCTCTGCCACTTAGCTTTGTGGGACCTCCTCATGCCCCAGGATGCTAGAAAGTGCTCCCTGGTGCCCCATGCTGCCAACAGCAGTTCCTGCTCATGCCCTGCTGGTTCTCTCCCATCTTTTACCAGACTAGAGATGCTCGCCTGTGATTTTAGGACACCCAGACCTGCTCTGTTCTTTCCACCCAGGGGGAATTTTTCTGGCGGGGACACCGCAGCCCACTTCCTATCATCCCACCAGCAATGAATTTTTCCCCCAACAATAACCGCATGTTGCACCTGGTCATCTCCGACTACTTCTTTAACACCGCAGGATTTGCATATCATGAGTCTGGAATCTTGAAAATAACTCTGAGGGACCAAATGGTGAGTGTGGCTGACTGGGAGCAGAAGAGCGATGGACTCCACACCCAGCATACCTAGGTGGAAGGGTTTGTTCACAGGGGTGGAGTTCAAGGTGCTGTGAGGGTCAGGAGGCAGGGAGCCCCGCTTCAAGTGTTGGTCCCATTCCTTTTCAGCTGAGGCACTCTATGTCACTTATGCATCCTTGTACCTCAGACTCATTTATAAGCCACCAACACTAGCATCCTCCCCAGAGGTGATTGTGAGTATTAACCGAAATAACAGTGAGAGGCTGAGACCCCAGACTCAGTGTGCATAGCACTCACCCTCCCCCCACAATGTTATTCCCACCCCTGATGTAGCAGCATTGGCTCTCACCACATGCTCATAGCTGGACTCACTCTGGACCTCAGTTTCCCTGTCTGTACATAATGAAGTAACCCCCTTCTCTACAGCCTGGGAGGTATAGCCATCCCAGCCTGGCCTCCTACATCCTGGGTCCCTTTTACAGCACTCCTCAAAACCATCAGGTTCTCTCTGTATAGGAAGACATGCAGAGTGTCCACTACCCACTATGGAAGAAAACACAAACCACCCAAGGGAGCCAGGCTGCTTACTCACAGCAAGACTGGGCCCCATGGCTGGTGAACCTCAGGAGTCAAAGGTGGCAGGGGTGGGGCATCACAAGATGGGGAGGAGGGGGGAGGTCAGACTGCTGTGATTGATTGGAGGGGTAGCATGGAGGCAGGTCAAATGAAGAAGGCATCCTGTGATTGGTGTGGCAGCAGATGGTAGTCACTGGCCACGCCCACCCTTTCTAGCCAATAACTAACCAAGTTGTAGTGCCAGGTGGTATTGCCACTGTAGTCCCAGGGTGCACTGATATTCGGTGTCTCACCCCTATTCTCAGCTTTAGCAACCTCCCAACGTCCTTTCCTCTCCTCACTGCAGTTGCCAAAGGATTCCAAATTCCGACTGAACACTGAGTTCCTGGGGACCTTCCTGCCCAAGGTAGGAAAGTCTTGTCTCCTCACTCATCTCGCTAGAGTACAGAGAGGACTGGACCATCGTGATAGGATGAGGGCCCCCTTCAGGCCTTTAGACAGCAGGAGAGACTGGAGCTGGCTCAGCGTAGCCCAGCCCAGGGATAGGCCAGGTGTCCCATCAATGCCACCCATCCATCGAATCCCTGCTGAGCTGGGGACCAACAGAACAGTCTGTCATCCCCACACCTCGGGCTCCTCTGCCCCTGAACTTCCCTCTCTGAGTCCTTCCATTCTTCTCCTTCCTGCCTCTCTCAGTCCTGTGAAGACGGAAATGTTCCATTCAGGCGCACAAGGCAGTTAAATGAACGAACCATGCATGCAGACTGTGATGTGACGTCAGTGGGTAGATGAGGTGGACAGGCAGGTTCCTTTTGCAGGCTGAATGGGTTAAGCCAGAAATTTATTTCTTAGACTTCTGTGTACTGGAAGGCCAAGATTGGGCCTTCAGGAGGAGTCTGCCAGCCAGTAGTCCAAGGGGAGGGAGAAGAAAGCAGTAGCGTCCCCTCTTCTGAGGAGCTGAGCCCTCAGCTCACCCCTACACTCATGACCTCATTCAGCCTGCCTTCCATAGAGGCCCATCTCTTAGAGCTAACGTGAGCTGTGGAAAAGGAGCACGAGTATTCCATTTACAATAGTGTCCAGAAACTTCCACAAGGAGGTGGTGGCTGGGGAGGTGTGACTGGTAGAATTGCCCAGGAGGTTTGTCTTGGACGTTGGCCTTGTAGTTGTTGCTCTTACCTCAGCTGATTGCCCGGGGAAGGATGGAAGGCTTGCATGGGTCTCAGAAACTTTCACTAAAAAGAACCTCTTGTGTCATTTGTCACTTGTACTGGGAACTGCAGGTGGCCATGATGTTCCCCAGCACAGAGGTACAGCTAGTGATCTCCACCTTCTCGCCTCCACGCCTGAGCATACAGCCCTCAGGCCTCTTGCTCGACCTTGCCATGAAGACCCAGGCCTTCTCGGTGCTTGCCAACTCCTCCCTGGTTCCTCTTTTTCTGCTTCACATAGTAAGTTGGGTGGGGACCCAGATTCAAGTCCAAATACTGCGACTCCACAGCCGGCTCCCCTGTTCACACTCCCACAGGCACTTATCACCAGCTGTCCTATGCCTTTGCTTAGTTACATGTGGCTGTCACTCCCTCATCCTTTCATTCATTCAGCAATTCATTTCTTCACGGCATAAAGTGAAGAAATTCCCAGCCACCTGTCTTTGGTGATTCAGATATGTGTGCGTGCGTGCGTGCGTGTATGTGTGTTTTGTCAACCTGTTTGTCCATTATTTTACATATTTTTAATTTAAATTTAAATTAGAAACAAGGTTGCTTCACATGTCAATTCCAGGTCCCTCTCCGTTTCCCTCCCCCTCCTCCCATGCCCTCCCACCAACCCCCCCCAATATCCCCTCATTTCCCCAGGGAGGGTGAGGCCCTCCATGGGGGTGTCCATAATCTGTCATTTCATCCAGGGCAGGGCCTAGACCCTCCCCCAAGAGTTCAGGGTGAGAGTGCATCTCTCATTGTTGGATGTGAGTCCAAAGTCCATTTGTATACCCGGGATAAATACTGATCTACTACCCAAGGCTCAATAGGTTACCTAGGCCTCCTCACTGACACCCACGTTCAGGGGGTCTTGATCAGTTCCATGCTGGATTCCCAGGCATCAGTCTTGGATTCAAGAGCTAACCCTTGTCAGGTCAGCTGTTTCTGGGGGTTAAACCAGCCCAGTCTTAATCCATTTGGTCATTAGTCCTCCCTGTCTGTCACTGGATTTCTTGAGTTCAGCTCAGTGCTTAGCCGTGGGGAGTCTGCTTCTGCTTCAATCAGCCACTGAATGAAGGTTCTGTTTCCCAGACTCTCTGGCCATGGGACTGTAAGCTGGCACTCCCCAGATCTGTGTCTAAAATCCATATATGAGAGAGTACATGCCATGTTTCTCTTTTTGTGACTGGGCTACCTTGCTCAGGATGGTTTCTTCTAATGCTGTCCATTTGCCTGCAATATTTGTCCAATTTTTAATTAAGTCAATTACTCATTCTTATGTGAAATATGCTGTACCTTGTCTGACCCCTACACCCATGACTTATTCAATTATTCGTGAATTCATTTGCTTAAACCTTTGTTCAGTGGGCCCTTCATTCATCACTCATCCATGCATCTGTTTGAGTACTCTTTTATTTGTGCATTTGCCTAGCCCTTAATTTGTCCAAATTTTCATTCACTGCTGATTTGTATTCACTGGCTGCATCACCCTGTTGCTACATTAATGGCTGTGGCCCTTGCATGTGTCCAGCGTCTCCCCTAACAGTGGAGCACCTACAGAGGTCTACAGTCTCCCGGCAGGGGGCGCTAGAAACCTGTGGCCGGTCTGCCCAGTTCCAAGCTGAAAGTCCACCCAGGAGGTGAAATGGGTTCTGAAAAGGCCATAGGTAGGCCACAAGCTGAGGTGGGGCTTCTCTTCCTTAGCCTCTTTCAAGTGAAGCTGTAGGTGGCTATTGTGATGATAGGCCAGCCGGGATTTCCTGCCTGTGTCTCTTCCCCTCCCCAGACTGACAGTCCAGGACTCTCAGAACCACAAGGCCAAAGCCATTCTCCCTGCTTCCTGGGCTCTGTGGGTATGACCCAGAGGTATGACCGCTCTGCTGGCCCTCCCCTGCCAGGGGTCAGGCCAGTTACCTGGATCACTTGCATTTCAGAACACAAACGCCTCTTTGGAAGTGGACTTTGAAGCAAACAGACTTGTTGGAGAGATGAAGCTAGAAAAGTAAGCTGGGGGGGGGGGACAGGAGGAGGTGGGTGCCCATCAATTCCTGGGTCCCCAGGAGAGTAGTGGCCTCCCTGTACACTCAGCACCCATGCCTGGCCTCGGTCTACCTGACCAAGCCTCAGACGGTGTGTAGTGGGCACGCTGTCCATTTGCTCAAAGCCGGGGTGGTGGTGACGTGATACTCAGGAGCACTTAGTTGAGACCCTGTCCCAAAGCAAAGCTGAAAATGACTGAGAATATGACTTGGTAGGGAAGCGCTTGTCTGGCATGCGTTGGGCCCTGGGTTTTCTCCCCAGCACTGCCAAAGAAAACAAGAAACCAAACTGCGGCTCAGAGGCAAGTGACTCACCCAGGCTCATACATAAGTGACCACATGTCCCAATTTACCCAAAACGTCCTGGACTAGTGAGTAGGCCATGGATTCAGGTACCTGACAAGCCCGAGGCTTCCAGGCTGAGTAGAGTCCGGTGCTCCTGTGATGTCCTTGGGAGTCTGAGTCACTCTGTCTCTCGGGCTTTGCTGTCCCCTCGGCTGGCTTCATTCCCTGCAGGCTGTCCCAACAAGCAGCATCCTAGGCAGCAGGAGAGAGACGCTCACTTGCTATTCTAAAGCACATTTGTCAGCACTGTGGGCTGTGCTCAGAACAACACTAACCATTCTGGGGATGCGTGACTCTCCCCAAGGGAGAGCCTGAGGCATGCTGAGAAAGCACACCGGCTCAGAAGCCTGGGTGGTGTCCATGGGTGACGTTCCCGGTCACTCAGGCCACTGGACGGTCTCCTCTCCCCTCCTGCAGGCTGATGCTGGAACTGAAGCAATCTGACTTTGGCTCCTTTAAGGTGAGTCTGAGCCCTGCTGAGGAAGTTCCTGGCTCAGCCTGCACTTACAAACTGTACAGGCCTCAGGCCAGTCACTTGCCCTCTTGGAACTCATTCCTTCCTCACGAGAGTGTGTGTGCTGGGATTCCACTGGGACAAAATGTACACAAAAGTACTGCTCTGTGTGTTTGTTGAATGGACAAATTAATTACTTTACTAAGCCCCAGTTTTTAGATATTAGACGATGAGATCAAGCTGAATGCATTAACCGCAGCCCTTGAGAAGCAAAGGCAGACAGATCTCTGTGAGTTTGAGACCAGCCTAGTCTACATAGTAAGTTTAGGTCAGTCAATACTATTTAGAGAGAACATGTCTCGAAGAAAGAGGCTGGCATGTGGGATCGGGGAGGCCCCCATGAGGAGGTGACATTTGGCTGTGAGAATGAGCCGGCAGCAGTGGGAACAGCGGGGCGTAAGGCCCTGTGACCGGACCATCTTGGCATGTGTGGGGAACGTAAGGAACTGGGTGCCTGGTGTATGATGCCTAGAGGACATAAGAGATGTACCCAGCGAAGCAAGCTAGGGCTGGATCACCCAGCGCCTTCTAGGTAAAATGGAGGAGAAAAGATGGAGATCAAGGGCAGTGAACAGCCCCAGGGAGCCTGTCCTTACCGGGAACAGGGAGCTGTGGTTAATGCCACGCTTAGGGTTCTGTACTTGGGTGAGAGGAACAACCATAGGACACAAGAGTGTGACAACAGAGGTGTGAGACCAAGAACAGAGAGATGAGGGTGGGCTGGAGGAAGGCTTGGAGGGGGCTTACGCAGAATGGATGGGAGAAGATGTTTGTGGGAAGGCATCGTGGTGGCAGCCAGGTTGTGGCTGAGTGACTGAATGACCCAGAAGAGGTCTGGCCATTTGGCTGCCCCTCTTCCCTCAGCCCTGCCATAGACCCATCCGTGTGGCACCTCCACCCAGTGCACACCCATCAAGGCTGGGGCTCCTAGAGCACAGGCACAGCCTGCTTCCCGCTGCTTTGCAGAGCGCCTGCCTTCCCCATTGAGGGCCTTTGAGCTACCAGCTCCAGAATCACAATGTCCCAGCCTGCCATCTCCAAGTCTGCTGAGACTCCATCTGGGATAATAGCAAACAGAAGGCTAGCCTACCCCTCCTGGGGCTCCTGTGGCTTCCCCTGCAGAGGCTGACTCTGGCTGGTAACTAAGTTCTGCTCCTGCAGAAAATGAAATTGGGCTTTCCCAGATGCAGAGCTAGGAGGGCACCTAAGTGAGGTGCCCCAGGGAGCACAGCCTGGAAAGCAAGCACGATTACCCAGAAACAAGAGCATCACGTTTATGAGCGGTGTCAGTGCTCCAGGCAGGCTTCCTGATGCGGGTCCAGATATTTATTTATTTATTTATCTATCGGCAAAACAACACACGTGCAGCACTGAGCACCTGGAACCTGCACTTTTGCAAACTCAAGTAGTGAAATACTTATTTGTATTCCTACCATTCAGTTCATGATTTAGAATATAACCTTCCAGCTGGACAATGGTAGCACATACCTTTAATCCCAGCACTTGGGAAGCAGAGGCAGGCAGATCTCTGTGAGTTCAAGGTCAGCCTGGTCTACATAGCTAGTTCCAGGACAGCCAAGGCTACTCAGAGAATCCCTGTCTTGAAAACCGTGTGTGTGTGTGTGTGTGTGTGTGTGTGTGTGTGTGTGTCTGTGTGTCTGTGTGTCTGTGTGTCTGTGTGTCTGTGTGTATCCATCCTTTCTGGCTTTTCAGTGTGCCCCTTTAATTAGAATTCAGACTTCCTTGGCTCCCAGAGCCTCCTTCTGCCTCACACATTGGCCCATCCCTGTGCTGATGGTTGCATTCCTACAATATCCTGTTTAATGGCTCCCTACTATTTCTTGATGTTAAAGTAGCACCACATCCCCCAAGTAAGTTCCCTGCTGTTGGACTCAGTAGTTCCATTAGTTTATCGCTTGTGTTAAACTGTCTTGTGGAAGACTCTTACTGCTCAGGTTTTTCTTCATCCCCTGCTATTGCCTTCTCCCCATCCCACAGGAAGGTTGCATTAGGCCTGTTACTGCCCAAAAAAACCACACATTCTGAAATAAAGGCCTCCCTTCCTCCCTCCCTCTCTCCTTCCCTCTTCCTCTTCCTCCTCTTCCTCCTCCTCTTCTTCCTCCTTTGCTTTTTGCTTTTGAGGCAGGGTTTTACCATTGTAACCTTGGACTGGAACTCACTATGTAGACCAGGCTCATATACATCCACCTATACTTGCCTGCGATTCCTGAGTGCTGGGATTAACAGCATGTGCCACCGTGCCTGGCTTGTTGGCCTGTTTGTTTTGAGCCAGGTATCAGGATCTGGAACTCATGATCCTCCTGCCTCAGCCTCTGAATTGCAGGCATATCCCACGTCTTCTTAATCATTTGCAAGGCTTTTGTTGGCCACTGTGGAAGAGCCTTGAAAAGCCCCCTTTCGTCGTCTCCCAACCTTCTGTGGTCTTGCCAGCTGCCCAGTTTCCTCATGTCTTCTGGATCTTGTGCCCACTCTGGGTGCTTCTCCAGGCTGGGAGGCAGGGAGAGGAGGTGTGAAGTTGCCCTGATGATGTAACCCCACCCCACCCTTCCCATCTGAAGGTGGAGTTGATGGAGGCTGCTATAAACTACCTCATGCCCAAGATGGTGCTGCCCAGGATCAATGGTAAGGAGCTTAGAAGAAACCAATGGTTTTCAATCCTGGTCAGAAGGGTGGGGCTGCCTGCCTGCAGATCCTGGTTCTTGGCTCAGGTTACAGGGCAGAGGATGGGCCCCTCAAATGACCTCAAGTGACATTTGGCCCTGGACTCCTTGTCTGCTCCCATTGCTTAGAACATTTCTGCCTGTGAGGTGGGCGGTTGTTGAGTGACTTTTTCAAGGTGTTGTAAAACTAACATCTATCGGCATCTGGGGTTCACACCAACAGTCCCTAGACCAACCTACCCAAGTTCATCTTCATGGGAAAGATGGGTCTATGATGAATTCCTTGTGATTGATCCAAGCATCCCCAGGTTACTAAACTATCCCCTGAGCTTGCATGCCTCAGTTCCACCTTAGTTTATGGGGTGCTGTCCATTCATAGCTTCATCTGCAACAAAGAGGGGCTCTGTGTACAGATACCCCCAATCCTAGGTCCATGCTCTGTCTGTGTACCCCTGGTTTCACTCAGGTGTGGTATAGAGCAATAGTGTGTACCCTCAAGAAGGGAAGTCACTGGGGAGAGGTCCATATGGGTCCTGCATGTGGGCTCAGGGGCGGTTGGAGGACAAGGAGGCGGGGTGCAGTCACCAGGGCAGCCTTCCTTCCGGGCGTGCAGACCTGTGCCGGGTCCTGCTTCACCCTCCTCTCCTGTCTCGCACCCTAGAGAGGCTGCGCAGAGGCTTCCCTCTTCCTTTGCCTGCAGGGGTCCAACTCAACAACCTCATGTTTCAGTCCTACGAGGTAAGTGCCCAAGGTCTCTGGCCACCTAGTGTCCCATAGGAACAGCAACTCACCGTTGCCAAGCCTCCTCTGTGCCACACGCTGCATCTGCATCGAGCCCTTCCTAGCCTCATACCATCCTTAGGACACAGAGAGAGCCAGCACTTAGGAAACCGGGGCATCAGATGAAGTTCACAGTCTAAGCCAGGCTCCTCGCTTTTACACCATTGTTCCTTGTTCCTGTAAACGCAGACTCACCAAGTAGACACACAGTTCTTTTCAGGCAGATGTGTTTAAGTGCTGAAAATCAGATTATTTTTAAAAAGCAGCTGTAGGGGGTGGGTAGGAAAAAGAGAGGCTTGGCGTGACCTGAGGTGAGACTATGTTCACGCATAGATAGGAAGTGGATGGCCAAAATGCCTACAGGAGAAGATGGGATGCAGCCTCTTGTAGGGGTAGAAATGACTTCTGTAGTCCAAAAGGGAAGCTGGGAAATGTAGTCTTTCACAGGAAACTATCGCCTAAAGCATGGTGAATGCCACTGATGTACCAGCATCATCCTGGTACATGTACATACAGACCTCTGGTAGAGCCTGTCCTGCAGGTATGCGACACCCTGAGGTTTGCATACCTTCCTCTGAGTTTCCAGGCCCCTGGGCTCCTGAGACCTTTCCCTCAACTGTTTCAGTCTCCCTTTCCTGTTCTGTCCCCTCCCTGAAGGCCAGCAATCCTGGCTTTCCTGCCTGGGCATCTTTCCCCTGTATTACTGGCATTCTTGGACACTCTGAGCAACTCCTCAAGCTCAGCGGCCATCCCTGTACCACCCAGCTTCCCAGCCAGGGGACCAGCCTTCCTCTGTACTATACGGGTCGGCCACCTCCCTTCCTCAGTGTCTGCACACCACGGCCTCTTCATACCTACACACCCCAACAAACCCATAATCCCACAAGGAGGCCCTCACCCGGCCCTGAGTTCCCACCTCAGTTGACAGCTTACTTTTCTGGCACGCGGCCCCTATGAGAAAGTCCTATGTCACCAAGTTTCTCTCTCTAATGCCTGGTGGCAGTCAATCCTGGTTCTTTAGACCAGGGAGCGGCTGAAGATGAGACTGAGAAACGACAGGTGACAGAGCAGAGGACTCTACCCCCACCCTCCCAGCATCTTGTTCCTGAATTTTATCAAGGTCATAAAAAAAAGACCCCCTGGCAAAATTTAATTTCTTCACTTAGAAACAGAGGGGAGGACACTCAGGGCAGGGAGTCATTTTTCAACCTTGACTGGAACCAGGTCTTGCGAGCTGCTGCAAGGCAGGGAGGACACATGGAGGACCCCAAGGTGGCCAAGAACACCTACCAGGGAGACGGCTGACAGGTTCTCCAGCCGTCACTGCTGTCAAACACACCCACTGCGGACACCCTAGGGTCCCACTGCTTCCCGCCTTTCTCAAGGAGACTGGCCTTACCCTATCCCCATTTTAGCCAGGCCCCCAAGTTTTCTTTTCTTAACCACATATATGTGTGCGCGGCTTGCATACTGTGTGTTTGGATGTGTATGGATGCTCGCATATGCGCATGTGAACATGTGTGTGTGTGCACATACACCCATGGAGGCAGAAGGTGACGAGGAGTGTCTCCATCCGCCACTCTCTACCTTTGTGTACTGAGACAGTTTCCCAGCCAGGTTGCCTCCTTAACATCAAACCCCAGCAGCCAGGGTGCGCTTCAGCTAATGGTGTCTGTCTCTCCCTAGAATTTCCTGGTGCTTGGAGCAGATATCCACCGGACCTGAGAGATCACCACAGGCCCTGGGCCTGGGAGCTCTTCAGCTGCTCCCAAGGGGGCCACTGTACGCACAGGATAGCCTGCTCCAGGAATCCTTTAGTCTTTGGCCCTGCCCTCCAGCCCCTGCTCACTTCCCCAAGCTCAGCTCTAGAAGTAACAGAAGCCAGTGGAAGTTGAGCTCAGGAAAAGAGGGAGGCCTGTATGCCAGGGCTCCACGCCTCCTTCAGCGCCGCCCCTCCAGCACTGGTGTTTCTGCTGGAACTGTGACATTCCTTTGGGCTTTGCAAAGACACCTGTTTTGTTTCCTGCATATTCTGTGTGCTGGTGTGGCTTCTTGTCCGTTCATTAATGCACTCACAGCATGACCTGCACGTGTACTCTTGAGTCCCTTACACCTACGTGAGCACAAACTCCGGCTGTTGCAAGTGTCCTTGGGGCTTTCTTGATTGGAAGGGATGAGCCTGGTTTTCTAGGGTCCTGCAGTTTTGAGAGGTGGTGTGTCTACGGGGCTGTTGTTCCTGTCATTACCACTGCTGAACAGGCCTATTGACTTCTGCTGTCAATGCTGAGCTGTTGTTCCTCACTACCACATGGCGGCGCTGTTGAGCATGTGACCAAAAGGCTGGTGGTCTGTGCTCATGACCTCCAGGCCCTAGTGTAGGAGCCACCAGTCCCAGGTTCTCCAGGATTGGTGTTGGATCTTGCTGGGGGTGTTGGGACATTCCCTTCCTTGAGACATCTGATTGGACTGCCCAAGCCTGTTAGATGCATTTTATAAGGATCAAGTGGCCCCAAGGCCTCTCTGGACTGGGGACCTTTGGTCTAAGACCAGGATGATAAACAAGAACACATCTTAAGGTTGAAGCCATGTGTGTCATGATCAGTTTCGTTTTTAAAATGGTATTTCAGTGATGTCTGAAAGCTTTGGAAAGGCAAAAGTGGACTAGAGTGACCCGGAAGGAGGGGTCTGATGACGGCAATGATGGAGAGAAGTGTTTGCCGGGAGGAAAGTAGGGAGTGGTCTTCCTAAAGAAGGACACACACCTGCTGACATCATGACTCTGTTACATGGGGGCTGAGGTTCCAGGGCCACCCCAGCCCAGAGGATCTCACTCAGTCTTCATCCATTGCACCTCCCTCATTCTGGGACTCACTCATGTCTTTCCAATTGGCTCACTGCCAGTCACAAGCCCCACTAGTAGCAAAGCTGGGATTCCTAGACTCCTGCCCTCCTCAGAGCCCATGCACCTTCTGGTCCTTCCAGATGTCAAAGATGTCTGGGGGGCAGGGGGGACGGGGCAGGGCGCCGACATGTAGAAGGTAGGAGTTCTGTGTTCGGTTGCCTAGGTCACACACTGTAAAAAAGGTACCAGACTCAGGAAACAAAAGTTCTGCCTCTAATTTGTCCACCAGGAAGGTGCACCTGCTTCTATTTGGTGATGGCTAGTGGAGGACCCCACTTAGCACCAGAGAGCAGCCAGGAAGGCTCAGAGGAAGAAAGTAAGGAAGGCATAATGTGAGATGAGGCTGCTTTGGTCTCTAAAGCTAAGGGAAGCCCTTAGTGGTGTTTTGAACACAAGAACGACACAGTCCCGGTTGCAGAGATGGCCCAGCCACCGAGAAAGCTGGCTGATCTTGCAGAGGACCAGAGTTCAGTTCACATCGGGTCCACAACTTGCAGTAACTATAGCTCAGAGTGATCTAATGCCCTCTTCTGACCTCTGTGGGCACCTGCACGCACGTGCCCGTGCCCACAGACAGACAGACACATAGACACAATTCAACACTTTATTTATTTGATTTTTGGTATTGGGCTTTTCAAGACAGGGTTTCTCTGTGTAGCCTTTAGTGTAAATCTTTATGTTTTTCTGGCCACGTGTCTTATCTGCTAAAAACCATGGCTGTTTAAACTGCAGTTTTTCCAAGATGGCGGCTGTAAGTTTGCCTCCAGCTCACTGCCTCAGTCTATGCTGACATCCAGCAAAAGCTGCCGGCTTGGAGATGTGGTCACTGCCACTTCTAGCTGTACATACACACCTTTCAATTGTTAGCAGAGCCTCTTAAAAGAACCTTGCTGTTTTTTCTAAAGGTGTGTATCACCACTGCCTGATCTCTATAGCTTGAGGCTGACATACTTTCTGAATCCTCAGGCAAGCTTTAATAAATCATAAATTGCCGCGCCAGCGCCACAACCAAGTCCAGGGTATCAGGAAAAGAGAGACCAGACATCCAGCTGTTTGTACTAAGAGAATGCATGTGCTGCCTTTATTGCCAGGAGAGAGTGTGTGTGTGTGTGTCTGTCTTCATTGCAAGTGCTAAGAGGTCTCTCCCTTGTAGGAGGGAGGAGCTTTTTATACAAGTTTACAGCACAGTGGAAAAAACCCCAGGTAGAAGAGATCGTTGTTTTTCTCCTGCTGGATGTTGATGTCAGAGGGTCAAGGCCAGGGCAGTAAGCCAGGACTAGAAAACAGAAAGCACTTGGACTGGAAAACAAGTTGCACTTGTAGGCTGACCAGCAACTCACAGAGACCCCATGGGGCTGGGGCCCAACAATAAATAATATATTACCACATCCTATAATCTTTCTCTGCTTCCTGTCTGCCATGATGTCAGCTGCTCTGTTCCACCACGTCCTCCAGGTCACGATGGAATGACATCTCTAAATCATCCCATGTTTATATCAGGCAGTTCATCTCCATGATGGCAAACCAATACAGTAAAATATAATGCCAAGAAGTTATTTTGATTTAATTAAATAATGCTCCCCACTGCAGCAGCTCCCCAGTGGGTCAAGCAGTCATCCTGGATGACTTTTGCTTTTTATGTAAAAGAACCTGTTCTTGCTAGGAAATTTCCAGGAGTGAAGGCTTGAGCAACAAGGGTCTGGTATATACAGACCCTCAATAAACACCACTGTCTTCTAATCCCCATCAATCCTTAGCCACAGGGTGGAAGACATAAATCATCTGGAAAGAACCAGGCTGGGGGCCAGGCCCAGAGATAAAGGCCCCACACAAGGTGGAGGTGGGGGCTGCCCTCATGACAGTGACAACATAGTACATGGAGCAGACAGTCCTGGGTAGAGTGTGCATCTTAACTCCAATGCCTTCAGTTCCTCATGTGAATCATAGTGGTCATACCAATATTCCCTTCACATTCAGTCTCCACCTTTAAGGGCTTTTTTTTTTCATTATGTGTATGGTTGTTTTTTCCTGTATATATGTCTTGTGCACACGTGTGTGCAGTGCCTGAGGAGGCCGGAAGAGGGCATTGAATCTCTTGGGATTAGAGTTACAGATAGTTGTGAGCTACCATGTGTTTGCTGGGAATCAAACCCAGGTCCTTCTGGAAGAGCAGTCAGTGCTCTTATTCGCTGAGCCATCTCTCCAGCCTCTCCACCTTTTGATGAAGAACACCAGAGGGTCTTCAATCATGTTTCTAAGTGACCACAGTTACCACAAAGCATAATGTAGTTAATACCTTGCTGGGGAAGGTGCAAAGGACTCTGGGACTCCAGGGACACAGGGAACTTTCCTGGAGACAAGGGTGGAACAAAGTTTATAAATATTGGGGATAGTGGGGTGAAAGCCAAAATCACAGGACCATCCTTAATGAAAATTTTGTTTCCTGCCGTGAAACTTTATTATCTTTACTTACTGCAAATATATATCTCCAGGACCACATCCCAGTACCCAGTAAAATACAACGTTCAATGTCATGTGTGTGCTGGGTGAGTACTCTACCACGGAGTTACATCTTGAGCCCCAAATACCCACAATCCTATCCAACTAAGAGACAACCTTCATAACTTCTTGACAGTTTTGATCTTGATTATTGTAAGCTATAGAACCTTAATACAATGTCATTGGAAATGACACTTCCCATTTATTTCTGCAGCTCCGTCACCAAACCAGACCCAGAGGCACGCTACTCCCCTCCTAGAAGCCGGTCCTTGGGAGATGAGAGCTGGTGGAAATCCAGTTTATTCAAGGCTCAGCAACCTGGACGGTGCAGGGAGCTCTCACCCTCAAGGCTCTGAGTTGCAGAGCTCAGGAGCACAAAGAGGTTGCATAGGGACAGAAAAGACTGAGCTGTGGGCAGGAAAGCAACCTGCTTCTCGGGGTCCCCATGGCCCTGGATGTACCAGGCTTTTTCTCTCGAGCCACCAACCAGCTCCCAAATCATGACATAGAGACTTCTTAATACTTAGAAATGCTCAGTCCAGCTTAGACTCGTGTCTGGCTAGCTCCTTTAACTTAAATTGGCCTGTTTCTCTTGATCTACCTTTGCCTCGGGACTTCTTACTTTTCTTTCCTTCTGTGTATCTTACTTTCACTGCTTCTCATGTCTGACTGGCTGGTAGCTGCCTGGCTTCTTGCCCTGGGCGTGTCCCCCCTCTCTCATTGACCTTCCCCTCCCCCTCCCCTCCTCTCCCCTACCCCTTCCCTCCTCCTATTTATTCTCTCTGCCTATCAGCACCATCTACCCTTTCTCTGCCTAGCTAATGGTCATTCAGCTCTTTATTAGATCAATCAGGTGTCTTAGGCAGGCAAGGTGAAACAAATACAACACATCTTTATATAGTTAAACGCACATCCTTACTGCTAAACAAATGCAGTAACGCACCTTTACACAGTTAAAGTATATTCCACAGCATAAACAAATGTAACAATCTTTGCCCAGCTAAAATAATATTCCACTGCACCTGGATGTGACTCTTTCTTATTTTCCTATATTCTCTGGCTGTGGAACATTGCAGCCTTGGCCTATGTACCTATGCCCTCTTATGCACATGGTTTTGTGTATGCTGGGTTAGTACTGTACCACGGAACCATAGCCCTCCTCCTTTCTCTTACACACTTAGAGCTTTTCTGTTAGCCCTCCAGGCAGTTCAGGTCAGCTTATATTCAGGACGAAAGACTACAGAAGGCAGGCACTGCTTGCTCTGGTGTCGTGTGAGGGTCCCCAATGCCCTCTAGTTTGCAAATCTGAGTGTCTAGCAGTTAACATCTGTATCATAAACTGCAACTTCTTGGAATTTCAAACTCTGGCACTAAGGAAGTGGAAAGGGCTTGACGAGGATCAAGAGTTCAAGACCAACCTGGGTTACACAGGGAGACCCGCTCCCCCATCTCCAAAATCAAAGAAACAAACAGAAGAAGTTTCTAGAATGCCTGGAAGCAGGGAGGACATATGATCCTTACAAGTGTAAAAGAAGGAAAGTAAGGATGACGCTTCCAGGTCCAGCTCTTAGAGGGGTGGTGCCGTTACAACCTCGCTTTAAAGGGCCCCGCGTTAAAATCCGCATGCCCAGTCCCCCTTCCCTGATACTTTAGCTGGGGCTCACTCCTCTGCCTGGGTCACACAGTGCAGCAGCTGACACATTTGCACAATGACTGAATTATGCACAGCAAGTTCCAGAAGGATGATTGCTGGGGTCATGGAGCCCAAAGCTGTTTTGAGAGCTTTTGGGTGGTGTTTGGCTTGGCTTGGTGCTGGAAACTAACGTTTGAAGATTTGCCAAGCTGCTATCCAGACAATTATGCCACAGCAAGGCTGGGAGAAGTGACTATTTAAACAAACAGAGTTGAAAAAAAGCAGAGTCCAGACAGAGCCACACCTATTATTCCTTCAGTTTTCATGGGCTGGGCTGTGACCCTGAGTGAGCCTCCATTTCCTGTCTGTGACTCTGGCCTTCCTAGCAGAGAGGTTAAGAGATGGGCCAAGGCAAGGCAGGACCTCCAATGCCCGTGGGGTTCCTGTGGGGGCGGGGCTTACCCTTTGGGGCCAGGCCAACCCTCCTAACCTGAGCACTGGTAACAGCGATGACCCCAGTGGTGTCGCAAGCAGGTTCCAGTCCACAGGGCCTCCTTTTCCCGCTTGCAGGAGCCCGCCCTCCCTCAAGAACCGCCCCCAACCCTGGGCTTTGGCTACTTAAGGACACCAGAGCCAGCCCACATTGACACAGTCTCCACTCGCCCACACAGGGTCCAGAATGGAGGCTGGGACTGGGCCTCTGCTCTCGACACTGCTGGGGCTGCTGCTCCTGTCCACGCCGGGGACTGGAGGTGCCAACCCCGCCCTTGTGGCCAGGATCACCGACAAGGGCCTGGAGTACGGTAAGAAGCCGCACTGCAGGCTGGCCTAGGAGACCCAACACCAGGCGCGGCCAGGACATGGAGAACGGTGCATCCCTGGTAGGGAGCCTGCTACTTGGGTCTTGTGGCAATAGCTGCGATTCTGGCCAGATCGCTCCCCAGATGTGTGACCTCAGCACACGACTTGTGGTATCTGACTTCTGCACCAGGATGGTTTGGGTTTCTGTACCTGAAGCAAGAGGAAACTGAGAGAAAGACAGGTAGCAGTGGCAGATGAGCCGTGACTAGAAGGCAGACAGCAGAGAGCTTGGTAAACAGCCCTGGTCTGGGGAGTCTGGGACCGGTCCTTCAGGAAGAATCTTGGGGGAGTTTGCAGCATGACCTAAAACCCACAAGTCATGGCTCGAGGCAGTTAGAGACAGGGAGGGACTCAGGGAGGCTGGCTGGGGGATGGGGTGTGCCACACTGGGACATTAGAGGTGGTCGTGTGGCTTATCAAACTTTAAAAGGTACTGAGTGGTACCTTCAAAATGAGTCCTCCTCAGGTGCCTATACTCTTGTTACTCCTGGCTTTTTTTCATTTATTTATTGCAGTACTAGGGACCGAACCCAGGGCCTCTCACAGGCTAGGCAGGTACTCGACCCACTGAGCTAGGGGCATGGCTACACCTTCTCTTTTTCATTTTTGAATTTTGAATAGCAACTCACTAAGTAACCCAGTCTGGCTTTGAACTCACTCTATAGGTCAGGCGGGACTTGAACATGCTGCAATTTTCCTGCCTCAGTCTCCCAACGTAGCCTGGCTTAAAGTTCAGCATCACCAGGCTTGACCCCACTTTAAAAGCTGGGGAAATATTTGACAAGATGCTGAGATAATGCCACAGAACTATTGTGTCCAAAGGGTGAGGGAGCCGGGGTGCTTGTACAGGCCACACATGTCACATCTGGAGAGCTTCCCCTGCGTTGTCTTCTGGAGGTCATAACATCCCTCAGCTGGGTAGAGATACTGGGACCTAAGATAAGCTATATAAACACAGGGTAAAGTCAGAGAGGGCTTCCAGGAGGAGGCAAAGTAGAAAAGGCAGTAAGAGCTAGCCAGGGACAAAGGGTGACAGTCCATCAGAGGGTTCCTGCTGTATGCGCCCTAATGAAGAGGTCACATTACAAGAGGCGAAAGGGAAGCCTCTAGAGACCTGTGTGTACAGCCCAGCTGGGGGCAAATGCCTGGGTTCTGTTCCTGTCAGAGACACAGTAGGACCATTAACCCCCTGAGAAGTCCCACAGAATCTCCTGGATTTGGTTGTTCTTTTGCTTAAGTTAAAATTAGAAAAGGCGCGAGATGGAACCGGCCCCGGCGCGATGGAGCACGAGCCATGGAGAGTACATTTACCATAGTTTATACAGCGGCGGGAGAGCGAGAGGCGGGGTAAGAGCAGAGCAGGAGAGAGAAGAAGAGTTAGAGGGTGAAGAGTAAGAGTGAAGAGCAGTAAGTGGGCGGGGTCTGTCTTTTAAAGGGGTCCTTTGCACCTGCGTGCAGACTGTACTCATGGACCCCTGGGCTGACCAGAGTGCTGCCTGAGTGCATTCTGCCAGGTAACAGGGCAGGCCAGCATAGTGCCTGAGCCTTTCAGTGATAACTAACTGCATTCATTTGGAAACCCCAAGTCAGGTGCTCTGGTCTTCTGCCCTTCCCTGGGCACAAGTGCCGTGTGTGAGCCCAGTGCTCTGAGGCAGGTGCCATGTGTGAGCCCGGTACTCTAAGGCTGAGTGCTTTGGTTCTTTTATTAATGCTGACCCCCCCCCCTTGCTGTTCTGGGCATTTATAGAGCACCTGTTCCGTCTAGGCTGCCACCGGTGTGACAGGCCAGGCTCCACCATGCCCATGAGGAGGGTGCCATTGTTGTCATTGTTTGAGGGACAGAGAAGGTTAAGCCTGGGGACTTGTTAAAGCCGTTCTGTTAGAATGGCCAGGATTCTCCCACACCCCAAGCAGGTCCTTTTCTGGTCATGCAGTTTGTAAAGGTCTCTCTATTCCTTTCTGTAAAATGGGCACAAGCCTATCAATTACATGGCATGTAGGCACTCTCCTGACTCCATGCTACCTGGTGCTGATGAGCTGGGCAGTCTGTGCTGTGATTACTGTCAGCAAGGACAGCAGCCTCTCTTGCCAGGGAAGGTGGGAGCCACTGAAGAATTTAGAGCACAGAAGGGGAGGCAAGATGGCCAGGTTGACGCCAGCTTTTCCTTGTCTGCAGCGGCCAAGGAGGGGCTGTTGGTTCTGCAGAGAGAGCTGCAGAAGATCACACTGCCTGACTTCACCGGGGACTTCAAGATCAAGCACCTAGGCCGTGGGCATTACGAGTTTCATAGGTGACTGGGGAGGGGGTAGAGTCTAGGCATGGTTCTGGCAGCTTCTTGGGGCAGGCAGTGGGGGTTCAGAGGAGGTTTCTTGGAGGGAGCTGGGTCCCCGCATTCAGCATAGCAGTGTTAATGCCTCCTAAGGGTGTGGCCAGAGTCTCGGTTTCCTCATCTGTACAATGGGCTGCTGCTCCCCTCTCTCCCTTAGAAGGCTAATTCAGGATCCAGCCACTTCAAGTAGGGAAGATAGGCTTAGAACTTAAAATGAAGTCAGTCCTGACTACTAACGCTGCCTTTTGTGGGTGAGGCAGTCAGGGAAGGTTTCCCAGAAGAGGGGGCACCCAAGCTCAGTCTTTAAGGCCTTACTAGATTTAAGTGGCTCATTTTTTAAAGAGGCATGAAGGATGGCCAGCAGAAAGAGGGCAATCAGGCCTGCAGCCTATGGTGCCCTCTTTGCTTAGTGCTCCTTTTTTTTAATTCTTTTTGTTAGTGCACGTTTATTAAACACTTACTGTGTACCAAGCTTCCCCAACACCTCCACCTCAAAAGGAATCAACCTATTGCTTCCCATGGACAGCCCTGGTCTCTTCCAGTCTGCTTGGAGGGCTATCTCAGGCTTTCTTAATTATGGCCCCTTCCTGGCCATGAGGAGGGCAGGATTGGAGGAAGGATCTGCCCTCTGACCTAACGTATCTGTCCACCCCAGGATACTGTCACTGGTCACTATGTGCCTAAAAGCCACTGAACCCCTTCCTCAGAGTGTAGTCACCCCTATTGTGAGAAGGGGACAAAGCGGCACCAGCCTGATGCAGGGGGTTGTGACCTCAGGAGGGTTGTCTAAAGCATGCCCAACGCTGTGCCAGGCAGGGCTGTTAGGAGGAAGTGTGGTTTCCTGGGTCAGCTGTGTCTGGGCACCAGCCTGACGCCTCCCTCCTATCTCCCTGCAGCCTGGAGGTCCAGAGATGTGAGCTGCGTGGCTCCTCCCTGAAGCCGCTCCCAGGCCAAGGCCTGAGTCTCGCCATCTCTGACTCTTCCATCTGGGTCCGAGGCAAATGGAAGGCAAGCAAGTCCTTCGTGTAAGTTAAGTCCCATCTGCCCCTGGCCTTTAGTCCTTCTTCCTGGGTGGTCAGAAAGATCACATGATGAGCTGACAGGCGTAACCCAGACCACTGTGTGGACCACCACAGTCTCTCTCTCTCTCTCTCTCTCTCTCTCTCTCTCTCTCTCTCTCTCTCTCTCTCTCTCTCTCTCTCTCCTCCCCCTCGATTCCACATGCAGGCCTGCTTCCCCTGAGGGCTCCAAGTGAACTAAATAAGACCACACAGCCTGTTCCTGGTTTGCTTCCCACAGATCTAGACCCCAAAGCCAGGACTAGGGCTGTCCTTGTGGCCTTTCAAATGTCCCCTCCTCAGAGGAAGGCACAGATTGGGAAGAGTAAGCTTAGAGACAGTTGGAGCTCATGGAACAGGATGCTGGAGGCTGTGAGAGAGGTGCCCAAAGGGTCCCCAGCTCAACTGGCTCACCCGTCCGTCCCTCCTCTGCCCTGCATCAAGGACTCCTCGGGGCCAGCAGCCCTCCAGCCCCTGGATGTGGCAGCTCCACAAAACACACATGGGTGATTTAAAGGCTCTAGAGGTCAGAAGGTCAAGGTCAAGAGGGCAGCAGGCCTGCCCCCCACACCTCCCCCGCACCCCACCTCCTGTCCCCTCTCCTCGGCTTGCAGGTGGCGTGTGCTTGTCAGATTCCCATGTGGGCTCCTGACAGCACTGGTTCCCCTTTCTTACATCCTAACGTCCTGTGACACTGGTTCCCAACCTGTGGGTCTCGACCCTTTGGGGATCAATGACCCTTTCTGGGGAGTCGCCTAAGACCATTGGAAAACACAGATATTTACATTAGGATTCCTAACGGTAGCAGAATCACAGTTATGAAGTAGCAACAAAAACAGTTTACAGTTGGTCGTCACCACAACATGAAGGACTGTATTAAAGGGCCACAGCATTAGGAAGGTTGAGAACCACTGTCCTAAGAGGGCCCACCCTCCTTGTCCTGTCCGGCTCAGTATGGTGTCACCACCAAGGGGCGCTGGGATGGGGCTTTAACCTGTGCGTTTGGGGACACAATTCAGCCCAGGACCAGTGTCCTGTGTGGCAGCTTCCCACCATGTGTTTTTGCAAAGCGTCCGGTATGAACAGAGGCCCACCAGAAGTGTTAAATGGCCAGATTTACAGATTTGGTGTAGCGGGGGCAGGCCAGGCCACTGAGTTTATATGCTGAAGCAACAATGTCCATTATTACACTTATTTGGGGGTTGGGGAGAGCTCAGCAGTTAAGAGCACTTGCTGCCCCTGCAGAGGACCCGGGTTCCGTTCCTAGTTTCACGTCAGGTAGCTTCCCACCACCTGTACCTCCAGCTCCAGGGGACCCGATGCCCAAACACACGAAGATGCACACACAGACAAATAAGTAAAAATAAATCTTAAAAGTTACTCTTTCCGCCTTCTCTGTCACTTCAGTGTGATCACTAGGTGTGGCATGTGCATCTCCCATTCTGTGCCTGTGACTGCGTGCCTGGCACCTGTGGCATTCGCCACTCCCGCCAGGGCACTGGGCCACACCGCCTCCTCCAGCTTTGGTCTCCCGTCAGCCTTTAGCCGTGTTTCTCCATGTACACATGAAGCTCCGCCCTGTTTTTTTTCCTCAAAATTGCTTTTTTATTTAACTTTTGTTTGTTTTGGCTTTTTTCGAGACAGGGTCTCTCTGTATAGCCCTGGCTATCCTGGAACCGGGTCTGTAGACCAGGCTGGCCTCTCACTCAGAGCTCTGCCTGCCTCTGCCTCCCGAGTGTTTGGACGGAAGGCGTGCACCGCCACCACTTCGAGAAACTTTTTTATTTAAATGAAACTCACAGAGTATAATACTGATCACTTGACATTTATACGACTGTGGCTCACAGGGCTATGTAATCATGGCCTCCACCCAGTTCCCAAACGTTTGTGTCACCCCATAGAAATGTCCATTTACATGAAACAGAGCTACTCCCCACTTCCCTTCGCTATGAACTTGATCATACCACACCACACATCTGCTTCTGTCACTTAGGTTTGAAAGTTCGTCCACATCACTATGCACGATGACATTTTATTCCTTGAACAGAATCCATCTCACGGGTAAACCATATTTTACCTTGTTTTCAAAGGCTGCATAGAACACGAATGTCCAAAGCACATTCAATTTTTTTAAGGTTGGTTTTATTTTGAATGATGTGTATGGGGGTAGGTGAATAATCGGGTACACACTCACCTGTGGTGGCCATAGGTATCTCCCATCACACTGGATCTGGACTGGCAGATCCTTGACAGCCTCTGGGTCCTCTGCAAGAGCGGTAGACATGCGTAACCACTGTAGTCTCTGCAGGCCCCCTCAGGCTGTTTCCTGAAGGTATTTCTCCGTGGGTTGGTTTTGTTTGTGTTTTATTTTCTGCTACCCATGATGCTTCACATCAGGGAGAAAGAGTTGGGCATCAGGTATTCTGCAACTCGGACAACTGTGCTGGGTTGTTCCAGAAAGTGCTCCCAGTGTCCTCTGTGGGCCACTGCACCTGCAGTGTCGATTTACCCTCATCTTCCAAAGTCTTCCAGCTTTGTGGGTGGAAACTGGCATTGTTGTAGGTTCATTTTCCATAACTTTTCCTATGCTTAGCGCTGTGTAGAACTTGGGTTTCTTTTCATTGTTTTCTCCCTTCCTTATTACTTTGTTTATTGTGAGGATTAAGGAATAAGCCTCCCCCACCCTGTGTCTGCTCATATGTTAAGGAAGCAACCCTCCCCACCTCCCTTACTACTAGCCCACCCCCTTACCACCCCACCACTCCCTCACCCCCCACTGTCTAAGAAGCTGATTCTTTTCACTGTGTATACCACGGGGTTTTGTTCGGCCCCAGGCATTGTGCTAGATCTTTTATTTGTGATTAACTCATAAATCTTTGCTGGTGTCTACTTGTTTTGAATAAGAATCCAGGTTCCTGTTTCTGCACCAATGGCAGCAGATCCTAGCCACAATGAATAATTGCTCCTCTGGCCACCAGGAAATTTCGGGGCTCCTTTGACCTGGATGTCAAGAGTATCACCATCTCAGTGGATCTCCTCCTGGGCAGCGATCCCTCGGGGCGGCCCACAGTCACCGCCTCCAGGTGCAGCAGCCGTATCTGTGATTTGGACGTGGACATATCAGGAAATACAAGGTGAGTCACCAAGGGGACCCCTGGGTATGGTCCTGGTGGGCTCGGATAAGTGTTCATATCTGGGTGGAATGCCTAGAGCCCCATAGACATTAGAGACCATTCCTTGAGGACCCTGTTGGGACAGACAGGTACAGACATAGGCAGGAGTGCTGAGGTGCCATTTCCATAAGTCAACAGGCTTAGGGGACCTTGTCAGGGGAGGAAACTTTGTGTAGTGGAGGAACATGTGGCTTTGGCCAAAGTTCAAGTCCATGGTCAAGTTTTTGCCTCCCAGTCTTTGTTCCCCAGGCTAGAAAATCAGATTCTAGTTCCAACCCCAAATCCCCTGATCTTATCAGATATGACAGGAGGCTGGAGCCAGCCATACTGGCTATGGCAGGGCTCTGGGACACTGATTGTGAGCCACCTGGTGTGGGTGCTGAGACTCTAACTTGGGTCCTCTGCAGGAGCAGTATGTGCTCTTAGCCACTGAGCCATCTCTCTGTCTCCAGGTGGCTTTCTCCATCCCCACTGTCCCTGTACCCAGTAGCAGACAGTTGACTGTGTACTGTGTCCCCTGCCCAGGTGGCTACTGAATCTCTTCCACAACCAGATCGAGTCCAAGCTCCGAAAAGTATTAGAGAACAAGGTAAGAAAGGCCAAGGGGGCTGGGTGGATCTTCCCACAGGCTGCTGCCATTGGACAGGCTGTGAGGGCCTGTAACACACGTGCGCGTGCACACACACACACACACATGCACGCACACACTGTGGTCCTGTGATCAAGCTGAATTTGATAAACTTCCCAGCCTTGAACCCATGACATATTACCAAAGTTACTTACATGTCCTGCTGCTGCTTCTAATAATAATTAGCAACATATCTTATAGCAATGTAATGTACATTGCAATAATTATCACAAAATACAGTGCTATAATTATTGTTTTGCTCAATTAATTAGTGAAGAATATACTATTCTTGTCTATAAAGAACAGCTGCTGTTTTGCGATCCTGTGCTTTGGCAAGGAATAATGAGCTGAGGTGTTCTTGCATAATCTTGGCCCAATATTTTTTAATGTTTTGAGACAGGGTCTTACTATTATAACCCAGGCTAGCCTCAAGCCCAAGATCTTCCTGGGGTTATAAATATCAATACCAAACTGGGATAGACCTCTGGCTTTGAAAGAGAGACTGGGGAGGCTGAGAGGGGCGTAGTAAACCAACCGGAATGGGGGTCTTCCTAGCACTGGGGCCCCTATGCCCAAGGCCTTAGAAGAGCTGAGTGTCTCGGAGAGTTGAAGATCTAGCGTGGCCCCTGCTCTCTGTGAGTTTTCAGACGTCTTTCCTGCAAGCTCTCATCTCTGCTCAGGGCTCCATCTTCCCTGCTCAGGGTAGAGTGCACTTTTTGAACCAGAGGGGCTAAGAAGACATACTATGGGAGACATGCTACCTTGTTACCCTGCACCCCCAAACACCTAGGAAGTGGTTGGCCTTGGGTTCTGTGAGGAAGCAGCCGGAACCCAGAGATGCAGAGGTCACAGGGCCAGTGGATGTTGATCAGGATTTAAACCCGGGGTGGGGGGCTTCCTCCTCCTTGTAGCACCCTTGGCCACCATGCTTCCATGCTTCCAAAAGACCCTACTGGGCATCTGGGATGGAAGACCCCATGTTTCCCCCTCCACAAGCATTTGGGTCTCTGAAAGAATAGGGTACCCAGGCTCAGGATTTGGTGTCTTTCCAGGGAAGGGACAACCCTACATAGGCTGACAGCCTCTCTGGGCTCCGAAGCTGCACCCCACACCTCCCAGGCTATCACCCCTTCCATTGGCTCCATGGCACCCCACAGATGACATTCTCTCCCAGCTGTAAAGAAAGGATGGGTTATTACCCTTGCCTCCCCAGCCCTCACGGCCTTCCCCACTGCCTACCACCTGACCGACAGCCCTCTAGAACCACGTGTCCTTACGTGTGCATTGGACATGTCTGTCCTTTTCTGAGAAGCCACCTGTGACTGCACAGTCTCTCTCTTTCACTGCACACATGGGTAAACTGCAGTCAGCATTAACTCACAAATCAAAAAGCACTTTTTAATGGGGCACGGTGGCACACACCTGCAATCTCAGAGCTCAGATACTGAGGCAGGAGGATCTCAAGTTTGAGGCCAGCCTGGGGTACATAACAAGAATCTGTCAAAATGGAGGGAAGAGGGCAGAGATGGCTCAGTAGGGAAAGCGCTTATTGTGCAAGCCTCAGGGCCTGGAGTTCACATGTCCAGCCCCGTGTGAAAGCCAGTAGTGTGGTGTATCTGTAACCAAGTGCTATGGGGTCACAGCCAGGCAGGTCCCAGGGGCTTTGCTGACCATCCAGTCTAGCTGAATAGTGAGCTCCAGGTCCAGAGAAAGATCAGCCAAGGTTCAAAACCTAAGGAGGAGTCTGTGTGTGGGGGGGGGAAGACACCCAAAGTCAACCTCTGGCTTTATCTGCATGCACCGGTAAGTGCACCTTCATATGTGCACACATGCACACAACATAAAACACCCATAGAAGAAAGCAAAGAAATGCTAGTTCAAGTTTCCACTCTCCTGCGCACACATAACAAGGAAAATGCATACGCATGGACCCAGGTGTCAGTAAATGTGAACTGACACAGGAAGCTGTTCTTTGAGACGGGCTCCTGGCAGACACAGCACTTGGTCTTTCTCGCCTGTGGAATCAGTTTACTGCAAACTCCACTTCTTCAACCAGATGCAAATGAAAAATGCACTTGCAGACCATCCCCACGCTAACTCTTATTTATTTACTTATTATTTATGGGAGGGGCACGTGTGCCATGGTGCTCATATAAAAGCCAGGTGACAGTCTGTGGGAGATGTGATCCCCTTCCACTCTGTGGGTCCTAGGTATCAAACCCAGGATGTTGGGATTGGTCACAGCTTCTTTACACACTGGATAGCCCCCATCTCTATTTTTAGAATCCTTTCCTCCTCCAGGCTTCTCTGCTATCCAGAGGGAACCACATGGTTAGCACCTCGCCTTTCAGAGTATTTATCTCTGGCTTTCTTGAAAACATTTCTTCTTGGTCATATTTTGTGGGCTTATATAATAAATAACTCAAGTGATTACAGCATCCAGGACAGCAAACAGGTTTGGAAACATATATTTCCTGCTCTTAAGAAGCTCACAGCTCTACTGGTGGTGATAAATTGTGTATAAGTGGTTCATAGGCACGACCACTGGGTTTCCTATGGGTACCCAGGGAGCAGGGGTGGTCAGAGCCTCCAACCGCCTAGTGATAGCCAGTAGGGCTGACTGCAGGACCTCTATGCCTACTTAGACAGGGGTCAGCTGTTCGGATCTGAGCTCCTGCTGCCAAGGCTTCACCTAAGAAACCTGTTATGATGGAGTTTCACACACCATGTCCCACCAATGCATTTCCATTTGCAGACATGCAGCCTTGGGGTCAGCTCTGAACAGCTCGCTCAGACCCTGCTGGAGTCCATGTCAGGACTGACATGATATTTTTTTTTGTTTTTTAATCACTTCTGCTTTGGTAGCACCTGGTACATGCTCAGAATTTACGGATATTTGCAAGTATATGACCACAGAGCAAACGTCACCATGGGCTTGCACAGGGGTGGACTCACCAGCCTTCCTTTTCCTGCTTCTCTCAGGTTTGTGAGCTGATCCAGGAGTCCGTGACATCCGACCTGCAGCCTTATCTCCAAACTCTGCCAGGTAGGACACCCACATGCCCCTAGGGACTCTATTTCTCTTCATTTTTCATGAGCCTATACTTGGACCCTATCAAATAGTCAGAGAGTAGAAAGAAGCGATGTAAAATCTTCTTTTCTCCTCAGCATTTCTGCCAAGAGGTAGCCTTGATCTAGGCCCCTCTTACAAAGAAAGCATTTAATTGGGGCTTGCTTACAGTTTCAGAAGTTTAGTCCATTATCTACATGGCAGGGAGCATGCAGGCAGGTGCTGGAGTAGCTGAGAGCTACATCCTGACCCTGACCCATAGGCATAGAGAATGTGAGAGAGGGGGGGGGAGAGAGAGAGAGAGAGAGAGAGAGAGAGAGAGAGAGAGAGAGAGAGAGAGAGAGAGAGAGAGAGAGAGAGAGAGAGAGAGAGAGAGAGAGAGAGAGAGAGAGAGAGAGAGAGAGAGAGAGAGAGAGAGAGAGAGAGAGAAGAGAAGAGAAGAGAAGAGAAGAGAAGAGAAGAGAGAGAGGAGAGAGAGAGCCTGGGCCTGACATAGGTTTTTGAAACTTCAAAGCCCACCCCTAGTGGCACACTTCCTCCAAAATGACCACATCTCCTAATCCTTCTAATCCTTTCATTCCCTGGTGACTAAGTATTCAAATATATATAATCCTATAGGGGTCATTCTTATTCAAAATACCACAGATGTTTAGTTTTGCTACTTTTTGCAATGGCCACAAGGCAACAGGGAGTGCCTTGCATTTGCTTCTTGTATCTGAGGAGCAGCTATGTTTGGAGTCCAAGTTCCAGGAAGCATATGGGAAGTTTGCACTTGATAAAGGGTCTATGCATTCTATGATGAGGCTTCCAGGCCCCTGGATGGCACTTGCTAACACCCCTTCAACTGAGGCTGAGGCTGCCACTGGCACATCTGACCATGCATGGGACATGGAACAGTCGCTCAACCAGGGATGTGGAAGGGGTATTCCCCCAAGGCCCTTGAGGGATACCTGGATTTCTTGGTCCTTTTGCTTAGCAAGAACGGTGTGTGTGTGTGTGTGTGTGTGTGTGTGTGTGTGTGTGTGTGTGTGTGTGTGTGTTGTGTCCCTCTGGCTGGCTGTGACCACCCAACTGTGTGTGTGTAAACTGCTTAGGCCTTAGCTGAACCTCATACCCTCACCACAGCTTCTCCGCCATGGGACTGGAAACATTCTGCCATGCCCCTTTGTTAGAAAGGCATGGCCTGGAAGCTGGGATGGATGGAATGGGTAGGTGGGGTCTTTTATGAGATCTATTTTGATTATGCTACATTACGTGTATTTGTGGGTATGCCCACATGAGTTCAGATGTCCTGGAAGGCTAGAGGCATCAGATCCTCCTGGAGCTGGAGTCACAGGTGGTTGTGAGCTTTCTGACCTGGGTGCTGGAAATTGAACTCTGGTCCTCTGGTAGACCAAGATGCACTCTTAGCCACTGAGCCGTCTCTCCAGCCCCCAGGTGGAGGGTATTTAGAGAAGCAGTTAGGGCTCACCCCTCTTTACTTGCTGCAGGCCACACCTGGCCCTACCTCTGTCCCTCACTCTGTCCCTCCTCTAACTTACAGTCACAGCGGAGATTGACCATGTCCTGGGCATTGACTACAGTTTGGTGGAGGCGCCCCGTGCAATGGCCCATATGCTAGATGTGATGTTTAAGGTGAGGGTGCAAAACTGGGAGTTAGCCATGGGACACAGGACAGTCAACCCACTCTGTTCCCTAATTTCAGGTCTGTCCTCATTTTTAGGGGTTCTTGCTCTGCCCAGGGCCCAGAGTTATGGAGTGGTGGGTAGTATTCCCAGAAGTGGGAGTCACACAAAAGTATCTCTATACCACCCTCAGCCTCAAAACTCCCTCCCCCACTCCTCCAGCACCTTGCCCACCCTGATGGGGGAGGGCATCAGAACTTGATGGGGCAGAGGGGCTGGCTAGCACACACCCTGCTGTTTCCATAAAGCAAAGCTTCTAGAGCCCTTGTGCCTTAAGTGACACAAGCTTGCCCAAAGGATTTCATCATTAGAGGGGCAGTTCAGGACGATGTTTCCAGTCAATGCCCTTCACCAATCAGTCATCATAGGTAACCCCTGAACTCAATGGCTAGCCATGGGATAGACTTCAAACTATCCAGCTGTCCCCCTTCCTCTCCAGGGTGAAATTTTTAATAGGAATCATCGCACCCCGCCTGCCTCCCCAACTCCAGTGATGAACCTACCTGAAGATAGTAAACAAATGGTCTACTTTGCCATCTCAAATCACGCCTTCAACATAGCCAGCCGGGTTTATCACCAGGCTGGGTACCTGAACTTCTCCATTACAGATGACATGGTGAGAATATGGGCTTTGCTGTGCTCCCCAGGGACAGCATGCCTCATCCTTCCTTCCATTCTGTTGTACTTACACCAGAAAAAGAATGAGTTCTAGCTAAGCAAATATCAAGACCAGCAAAATATATTAACATAATTTCTCTTTACTTCATGGGCCACCAGGAAACTCAAGGCCAAAGTTCTTTCTCCCTCATAACTACCAAAGACTTGTTTAGGTGTCTCTGTTTGACCTTCCAGTCTAGGCCTACTCTAACTCGTATTTTCTCTTATCATGATAACTCCTGCAGGCCTATGAAAAATAATTTAGTGGGCTGGACAGTGATCGTCCATGCCTTTAATCCCAACCCTCAGGAGGCAGAAGCAGGCGGATCTCTGTGAGTTCAAGGCAAGCCTGGTCTACAGAGTGAGTTCCAGAACAGGCTCCATAGCTACAGAGAAACCCTGTCTCGAATAAAAAAAAAGGGATAATAATTTAATGGGTGAGGCAAAATCACATTACAGAGAAAGAAAATAAGGACCGAATAAAAAGTAAATGACAGTTGCCGGGCATTGGTGGCGCACGCCTTTAATCCCAGCACTTGGGAGGCAGAGGCAGGCAGATCTCTGTGAGTTCGAGGCCAGCCTGGTCTACAAAGTGAGTTCCAGGACAGCCTCCAAAGCCACAGAGAAACCCTGTCTCGAAAAACAAAAACAAAAAACAAAAAAACAAAAAAAAAGTAAATGACAGTTATGAAGACACTAGAATTGTAATTTTTTTTTAATCACAAATCTTTTTGTGAGCTTCCCTGCAGCCAAAGTGAAAAGGGTACCTAAATTGGACAGGAAGAAACAGATCTAGATCCTCCTAAAATGCACCTTGATGTCACTGTTACCAGTGAGATTTGCAGACATGAGAGTGGCTTTCACACCTTATAACACCCCCCTCAGTTATTTTAGGTTTTTTAGGGTTCAAAGAGGGGTTGGCTGTAGCAACTCTTAAGAATTGAGGTCTGTGAACAATGTCAAAGTGGTGGGACACATGGCAAAGATGGAGGGCCATGTGATGACAGATGGGGACTTTGTCCTGGCAGGGGTTTCTCCACACGCCACCACAGACCTTTCGTTTCTCCCACCTGCTTCACAGAGTACTCCACATGAGGGGCTCCTGAAAGTAAGGAGGGAAAGCCTGGCCCAAGGTCACACTGACAGGCTGGCGCTTCAGTAAGGTCTCAACTGGGAGATCTCTGAATTATGCCTGTAGGATCACAGCTATACCCCCATCCCCAGGAGGTTCATGTGCTCTGTAAGACAGAGGCCTCACGATAGCCAAGGCAACAGGACCCATAGGGAGAAGCTAGCCTTCACACACACACACACACACACACACACACACACACACACACACACACACGCACACCATAGTTCATAGTTTGCCAACTTGACAGGCTCTAGAATCACCAAGGACACAAAAACAAATCCCTGTCATCTCTGTGAGGGATTATACAGATGAGGTAATTGAGGTGGGAAGACACGCCCACTATGGGCGGCACCATTCTGTAGGCTGAAGGAAAGGAGAGTGAGTTGAGACAGGGCCATCTCTGCTTCCTGACAGTAGGTGCAAGGTGTTCAGCTGCCTCAGGCTCCTGCCGTGATGGGCTGTATTCTGGAACTGTGAGCCAAAATGACCCCTTTTCAAGTCGCTTTGGTCAAGCATTCTGTTACAGCAATGAGAAGTGACTGACTCATTCATGTCCACGATTCTCCTCTAATGAGCACCCTAAAGCTCCCATGTCTTCTTCCTGCAGTTACCACCTGACTCCAAAATCCGGCTGAACACCAAGGCCTTCCGCCCCTTCACACCCCAGGTAAAGCCCCTTCCACCTTCCATGGGCGCGACCTGAGCCCACCAGCTTGCCAAAGCTTCTCTCTAGAACCTCTGTGCCCCTCTCCACTTGACCCAGAACCAGAGGCTAGTGAGGAGACCCCAGGGAATGTCTGGGGACTGTAGACTTGAAGGCTCTCTTCGAAGTCCTTGCAGCATGAGCCTAAGCTTCCTCTGGTTTTCCGGTTTGGTTTTGTTGTTAAGAGGCCCAAGGGGGCTGGAGAGATGGCTCAGCGGTTAAGAGCACTGGCTGTTTTCTTCCAGAGGTCCTGAGTTCAATTCCCAGCAACCACATGGTGGCTCATAACCACCTTGAATGAGATCTGGTGCCCTCCGCTGGCATGCAGGCAGAAGACTGTATACACAATAAATAAAATATAAAAAAAATAAAAATAAAAATAATAAGAGGCCCAAGGGGTTGCTGAGAAGGGCACCTAATTAACCAGAGAGGGTTACCAGGAACCAGGCATGCTCAGCTTGCTTTAAGGGGCTCTTACAACATTTGAGGTGCTGGGATGGGACCTGGGGTACACATATTCTACAAAAGCTCACTACTCCTGAGTTATACCCCAACCCTCAGTTTTATAATACAGGATCTCATATGTGGCCCAGGATGGCCTTGAACTTGCCAAGAGCTTGGAACTACAGATGTGCACCACTACCCCCAGTATTGAGATTTATCTGAATGGAAAAGAAGTTCACATATCTTACCATTCCAGATATATAAAAGGTGATGGAGGGAAGGACTCCTAGCCCCTGCTGGCCCCTGCTGGCCCCTGCTGGCCCCTGCTGGCCCCTGCTGGCCCCTGCTGGCCCCTGGCTCCCACTTCCCATGAAAAGTCTCCCAGGTTTCCAGTAGTGTCAGATCCCAGAAGATGGTGCCAGATCACAGAGGTTGTGATGCCCCATGCAGGTACTGAGAATTGAACACAGGTCCTCTGCAAGAACCAAATATGCTCTTAACCACTGAGCCCTCTCTCCAGTCCCCCTCCCCTAGCCCCTGTTTTATAGTCTCTGCAGGAGGCAGTGTGGGTTCCCCCTGGTTCTTTTGCACAAACAGGCATGAACCACATTCTCTGACCTTCCTGTCTGTGGGAAACCCTCCATACAGGAAGTTAAGCAGCTTCCTCCCCCTTTTTGGTCACAGTGAGACAACCTGCCCTGGTGTAGGTATAGTCTCCATAGAGTGAAGGCATGGGTTGTTTGCAGCCTTTGGTGACACCAGCATCACAGTAGGTCTGCCAACACCAGACCTGTTTGCATGTTGCTTTGCTTAGATTGGTCCCCAGATTCCCACTGGTTCCTCTCTCAACTTTTCCAACCATGCCTTGCAGAAGGCTAAGTACTGTGCAGAAAGGGATTAAAAGGGTGAAAGAGAATTTAGAAGTTTAGTTTAGAGAGATGGCTCAGCAGAGAGCAGTTGTTGCTCTTCTAGAAGATCATATTTAGTTCCCAGCACCCACATGGTGGTTCACAATCATCCCTAACTCCAGTTCCAGGGGATCCAATGCCCTCTTCTGACCTCTGAGCATCAGGCATGTATGTGGTGCACCTACATGCATGCAAGCAAAACACTCGTATAGACATAAAACAGAATAAATAAATCTGAAAACAAATTTAAGAAAGAAATTGAATGTCCAAGTCCTCCATTGTCAGGCCCTGACCCTTCTCAAAGTTGCAGAGTTTTTCCAGCTAGTTCTGAGACATCCTTGGTCACACCCTGGCTCCAACACCCCTTGGCTCCTGACTCCCCCACCTTCTTGTCACCACCACAATCACTCAGCAAAGCAGCCACCTGCTGTGTCCTGGATGACTAGCTGCCCCACCCCCTCCAGCTCCTAAATTCTCCTGACAGTTAACAGATGGATCTGCCTTTATAGAACCAAAGGATCATGGGAGTTTGTTCTCCCTCCTCAGCCTTGTCTCAGATTAAATTCCATGGCCATCATAATTCAATAAAATATTGATTCCCCCTTGCAATGATGAGATCTGGTCAGGTCCGGTTTCTGAGAGCTAGCACAGATGCTGTGATGTCCCTCTTTCTCTATTGGCCAAGGAGGGTAGGGGTAGGGTGTCTACACAGACAGATGCCCCTCCACTGTTAAGAAGGCACAGGGTATAGCACGTTCTGTGGAAAGTAGAAGGGGACCCAAAATGTCCCCTTTATGATTTCCCTTTGGTCTCTGCAGACCTATTTCCTTCTTCCAACACGATCTCCAAATTCTACCCCCAGATAACCAGAAGGTACCCCGACATGAACATGGAGCTCCGTGGGACAGTGGTCTCTGCCCCACTCCTGAATATCAGTCCTGGAAATCTGTCCTTGGCCCCTCAAATGGAGATTGAAGGCTTTGTGCTTCTGCCCAGCTCCGCCCCGGAGTCTGTCTTCCGGCTGAGTGTGGTAAGGCTCAGCGCCTTGGCAAAGGCTGTTTTGTTTTGTTTTGTTTTTGCTTTTTCAAGACAGGGTTTCTCTGTATTGTTTTGGAGGCTGTCCTGGAACTCGCTCAGTAGACCAGGCTGGCCTCGAACTCACAGAGATCCGCCTGCCTCTGCCTCCTGAGTGCTGGGATTAAAGGCGTGCACCACCAACGCCCGGCTGCAAAGGCTGTTGTTCCTCTTCATGAGGGCTTTCCCCTCACTCTCCTCAGGTCTCAACCCATGCATTACAACCCCAGAAAGGGCTTTCTTGCTTCCTCTGTTTCACCATTTGCATTTTTTTTAATTTGTGTCACTCTGTTAATTCTCTCCATGGTGTTTATTGCCCAGGCATTTGTGTAGCTATTTGAATTTGCTGTCTTGTTTCAGGCTTCAAACTCAACAAGATCAAAGTCCTAGAGGGTAGTTCCTCTCAGAGGGTGTATCTGCCTTTCAGAGTTACTGATGATATCAAATTGTTTTTAAATAAAATAGAGTTCATCGTTATCATTGCTAGAGTTGAGCTGGGCCCAGGGGTACCCGGCCACGACCTCTAAGAGCTGACTAGGTGCAAATTCCAGGTCTTCTCTTGGTACCCTGTTAAAGGTTTAACTGCTGTTATTTCAAGTAAAGCTGTTCATGTCCAAGTTCAGTCCCTCACTGGTCGACACATTGAGTGCTGTGGAGGCTGCCGTCCAGTGGGCGAGTTTCCGAGGCTGCTGGTTCCCTCCTCGTCCCTAGCATGACAACCACCATCATTAAAGCTTGCCTCTTTCTACTGCCTCTCCCAGGTCACTAATGTGTTTGCTTCATTGACCTTCAACAACAGCAAGGTCACCGGGATGCTGCACCCAGAGAAGTAAGGGATGGGCATCACAGCAGGGGGGAAGCTGTGCGTGGGCTCCTTCTGGACTCTGTAATTGGGGTGGGGATGGGATGTGACTCCCCTGTCAATGTTGAGGGTCTGCCATCTGGGAAGGAAACATATGTGTAACTTACTCTGGTTGGCTTCATTCTTTTTCGGTACTGCCTTACACATTTCAAATGTCTGAATGACTCACACTGCTTTTGCTTAGTTTATGAATTTCAGCTCTCGGCTGTATTGACTTACTGGGATGCTAAAGGCATTTCCCCAGGCCCCGCCCATCTTCCCAGCATCACTGTGTCTGTCTCCCCTGCCCCTCTGGCTCCTGTGCCTTCCCCCGCTTGGTACCTACCCCGTGACTCTGCTTTATTACAGGGCACAGGTGAAGCTGATAGACTCCAAAGTCGGCATGTTCAACGTGAGTTCCTCAGTTATGGCATGATTAAGATGCCAGTTAATTGCTGATGTTTTTGAAGCAGTTGCCATGGCACCTAGAATAGGAGTGGGAACAGAAGAGCAGATCTCTGCCCAGGCCTCTGTCAAACCTCTCAAGAATGCAATACAGGGTCAATGAATAATTATGTCCCAATACAAGATTGGTTGTTGGTCAGGATTATTTTAACTGCAATGAAAAGAAATCCATCTCAGGCTGTCTTGAGCAAAGAGGTAGGATTCATAGGGTCACATAACTAAAAATAAAAGGCAAGGCTTGAGAGATGACTCAGATGGCAAAATGCTTGCCATGTATAAGGACCTGAATTCAAAACTCCAATGTATAAGTAAAAGCCAAGCATGGCAATCCCAGGGCTAGGGAGAAACAGGTGGACCCATGAAGCCCACTGGCCAGCCTACTTAGTGAGCCCTGGCTCAGAGAATAAGATTGAGGGCTCCTGAAGCATGACATCTGAGACTGACTTCTCTCTCTCTCTCTCTCTCTCTCTCTCTCTCTCTCTCTCTCTCTCATACACACACACACACACACACATACTTATCCATATAAACATGCATGCACACCTGAATGAACATACACATAATGCCAACCATAAGGTGGGCATTTCACATAGAGCTGGACTCAGGTGCTCAGGTCTGTGCATCAAGACCCTCTGCCCATGCCTCAGGTCTAATTTCACCCAACTTGGCTTCATTCACAGACAGATGCTTCCATTGGTAGCAAACCCAAGAGTCTCCTGGAGACTCTGGAGAGAAAAAAATCCCTAAGCTAGGTGGGTTTTGTTTTGTTTCAAGACAGAGTCTCGCTATGTAGCTTTGGCTGTCCTAGGAGCTTGCTATGTAGACAAGACTGGCCTGGAATTCACAGAGATCCACCTGCCTCTGCCTCCCAAGTGCTAGGATTAAAGAAGCAAAGATTTGTGGTCAGCTCCACCATTGCCACCCGGGGTGGGGTAAACTACACCTAATTGTTTCTTAAGGCACAAAATGGCTGCATGGTCACCGTGTACCTCTTCTCTTCTCCCCCAGGTGAACCTGTTTCAATCATTTCTTAACTATTACCTTCTCAACACACTCTACCCTGAAGTCAATGGTAAGAATGGCTCTAGGCCTTCCCAGGTCTGGGGAGAGAGTCTTTGCCCTGGATTGGAAGCCAGGGTCTTCTGACAGCTGTGTGATCCTGAGAAATCACACATCAGAGTTTGATGACCACTGTGGGATGGAATACTAAAGGCAGCCTCTTCCAGGGCTCCTGTGGGGGATTGGGATTGAGACAGTTCTTTGATGCCCAATAAGCTCCTAATGGGGAAGGAGAGACTTCCGGAAATGCCCATACTTCCTGAGGTGACAGGTGAAAGACCAAGGATTGGGTCACAGTAGGACAAGGCAACCACCTTGAATATGCATTTTCCAGTCAACTGCCCAACTCCATAGTCAAATAAAACAACTTAAGACCCAAGGCCGTTCCGTGACACACAGCTTCAGCAGGCTGCCTCAGAAGCAGATGGTGGAGGCCAGAGAGCCGCCCACTGGTCATCACACCCTTCTGCCTCCTCATACCTGCCACTTCCTTCATCAGACCATGTCTGGTGACTTAGGTGCCCTGCCAGTCATTCTGGGTTCAAATCTGCAGTTTTCTTGCTTTGGAACCTAGAACAAGATACCCGGCCATTCTGTGCCTCAGTTTCCATATCTATAAAATAGGAATAGTGATAACACCCACCTCACAGTCTTAGGCAATCATTGAGTGGGAACACACTGCATCAAGTGTATGTAGAGCTCTGAGCCTTTGGTAAAAATTTGTCTATCGCCGTTATCAACACATCTCTTCAATGGTGTTGTCAATCCACAGATGAGCTGGCCAAGGGCTTCCCCCTCCCTCTTCCAAGGAATATTCGGCTCCACGACCTTGATCTCCAGATCCACAAGGTCAGTGGGTTCAGTGGGACTCTGGGGATGTGAGGCATCGGAGCTGAGCAGTCTGCCAGGTCTGAAAGCTACTACTCAGAGGGTAGACTCACTTCAGTCCTGCAGCTGAGAAGACTCGGAGAACAGAGTGTCCCCCGGAGTGTCCCCAGGAAGCCAAGGTTGGAGTCTGGGGACAGGAGAGATGGCTCCGTGGTTGAGAGCAAGTATTGCTCCTCTGTGGACCATAAACTGTTTCCAGCCCCCATAATGGATGGCTCAGAGCAATCTGTAATGTACCTCCTGCTCCAGGGGATCAGGTACCTCTGGGCTACTCGGTACGTGGGCTCACATACACAAAGTCACACACAGATGCATTCACACACTGCAACTTCCTGGCGGCCTCATGAGTGTCCTTAGTGCCACCTAAACGTTCTCTCCTTGACAAAGGATACAAAATCGAGATCTCCTGGGCTTCACTTTCTTTTGAGGTTCTTGAGTTTCTGTCATCTAGATGGGTGGGAACTGGGCCAAGTTCAATTCTTCCCAGGGATCCACCACCGTCTTTAGCAGCCAAATGGCCATAGTTGACCTCAAATTCCAATAAACATGCTAATGTGTGATAAATCTTATAGTCGCTTCTCAGGTGCCAGACATGATAAACATATTAATTCTATATGCATAGCACAATTAATAAACATACAGATGTCACTATTGGGCAGGAGGTATTTAACACAACCTGGGGCCCCAAAATGCTCATTTTGAGAACCCCAGCCTTGCCAGCAGGTCATGTTCCAAAGGCTGCTGGTAAGTTATATGATTCCCTAGGCTAGTTTGGCTTTTGCTTAATTGTCTGCTGTCCTGGGTTTCACGAATGCTAGGAAACACTCTAGCACTGAGCCACTGCCTCAGTCTCTGTCTTGACTCTTAAGAGAAAGAGCTGCACCCCAAATGTAGCTTAGAACTTTAAACAAGTGTTATAGCCTATACACATTTTTTTAATTCTCTGAAGTCCCATTTACCACTCACAAGCACGGTTGGAATTGGGGAGGCCTGTCTCCAGGATCCTGGGGGTTTAGGGTTTGTTTGTTTCTCCCCTAAGGTTTTCTTAATTTTTGTTTGTTTGTTTGAGACATGGGTAGTATTAGCTCTCATATTGTTACAGGGGTCTCTGAGTTCTGAGCTGTTTGAATTCAGTCAAGAGACAGAGACAGTTCAAAAAGAAGTTTATTTAGCAGGGGCTGGTGAGATGGGTCAGGGGTCAAGGCACTTGCCCCCAAGTCTGATGCCTGAGTTGGATTCACGTTGTAGAAGGAGACAATTGACTACCATCTGTTCCCACAGGTTGCTCTCTAACTTCCAGACATGCACCATGAGGGTGTGTGTGTGTGTGTGTGTGTGTGTGTGTGTGTGTGTGTGTGTGTGTGTGCGTGCTCACACACACACAAAATAAACAGACAGGCAAATAAATGTTAATATGATTTAAAAGGTTAGATAAATAGTCCAAAGAGACTGAATGGGATTCCCCAAGGTGTCCAGCTACCAGTAGAACCTATTTTGTGGATTTGAAAGATTATGTAAATATGAGATGGGTGATATAAGGTACATCTTTCTCCCTCTCAAATCATGGTAGACCAGATCTCCTTTTTGAGGGCATTTCTTCCCATGATCCTCACAAAAGGGGAAGGCAAAAACCACTGTGCAAGTGATAGTGGAATCATCTTGAGTTAGTACATGACACAGACCCTTCAGATGATGGAAACTTAAGAACAGAAAGAAAGAGAAGCACAGGAGCTCAGGAATTCATGTCCTTTGCCAAGGAGAGGAAATTTAGGTGATACAAAGGACATTTATGAGGGCCTGCCAGGAAGCTACAGCTTGGGAAGTGACAGATAGGGTACCATCTGGGAGAAGGGAGCTGGCAAAGGCTACAGAGGAGAGCTGAAACTGGAGATTTATACACTGACCTGACTCTGGTTTCTAGCAGAGCTATGTTCTTCACAGCAAGTACTCATATTCTCTGTCTGTCTGTTGTCTGTCTGTCTGTCTTCCCTCCTTCTCTCCCTCCCTCTCTCTTTACAAGATCTGGCCTCGAACTCATGATCCTCTTGCCTCAGTCTCCCGAGGGCTGGACTGCAAGTGTGCATCACAATGCCTGGCTTAGAGGAGTCTCTTTCCTGTTTCCTCCTAGGACTTCCTATACTTGGGTGCCAATGTCCTGTACATAAGAGTCTGAGGACAAGAAGAGCAATGGACCCCGGAGACCACAGCTGGACCTGCCATTTGCAATTCCAGATGTGCAGCACATCTCTGGAGAGTTCCGAAATACAAAGTTGTTTCTGTTCATGGCTCCAGTGGACCCTGCCCCTGAAGTCCTCTTCTTTACCCTTTTGACCTGGACTTGACTCTCTCTTCCAGGAGGGGCCCTCTCCCCCGACTGACCTGGAAAAGCCTTAAGAGCAGGCACTGTGGTTTTGAATTCACCGCCTGATCTTCATATCTGGCAGAATGCTGGCACTTAGTAGGTCTTCAATAAATATTTATAGAACAACATGATATTACAGCTGAACCTCTTTATTGTTCCTCCTAACAACCCCCCCCCCTGCCATCTGGTCTCGGCCGGTCTAGATGCTCAGCTCCAACTGTGGTCTCCAAGGCTATATCTTGGCCTCCCTCTCTTTCCTGTTGGTCCCTGCTGTAAGGGCCTCAACAAGAGAATGGAGGACTCCACATGCCCCCTTCTCCAGTCCTTGTCCCATCTAGGCTCCTAGCTTCATTCCCACAGGCATCACTTCCTTGCCTCCTGCTTGCTGCAACAACAGGCCCAGAGCCAAAGCAAAAAACTACAGCCTCTCACTGTTGTCTCCATCAAGGCCTGTGCAAATGAGGGAGATGGGGATCCAAAGAAGGTTTCGGTTGGACCCAAATCAAAGGCTCATCTGAATATTGTTCACAGGCCATATGCCTGCGAGGAGGGGCCATGGTTTCTAACTACAGAACAATAAGCCTTTGATCAGACTTAATAAAGAGTCATTCCCATGTTATGTAGTTAGGCCCCCAGGCTGGGAGTCAGAAGGCTCATTGGAGTTGTTTTTTGTTAATTGTGTTAATGAACAGATGGATAGTGCTGCCGGCTAGCAGATAACTCATGGGGAATAGACCCATTTACTCCATGTATGACAGAAATGGACTCCCAGACTGGTGGCAGGGTGATGCATGGCTTCTCCCCCTTCCTCCTCTTTACCGCCCCTGTGAAGAATGGGAGGGGCTCAGGCCTCTTCCTATGGTCCTGGGCAGGTCACTACTGGTCTGTGAAGATAATGGTGATGGGAGTCACATCCTATGGATGTATGGTCACATCATTAGGTCATACTTGTACAAGGGTGACCAGAAAAGTGCTGCCTGCCACCACTAGCGCCGGTGAACAGACACAGTAATTGAGTCTTCAAGTTGTACTGTATTTGGGTAGGGGGGGCTGGTGACCCAAGAATGTGGCAGGCGTGTTGTAGGTGAAATAAAGCACTTGGCATCCCATCTTCAGCCAGCAGGTCACACAGGAACAGGAAGCAACACTCAGAGCTGAGTGTTGTCCCTCTGGTCAGGTGGTCAGCTGAGTCCCTGAGAGCCATAGTGTCTTGATCAGTCCCATGCTGGATTCCCAGGCTGATGCCTGGGATTCAAGAGTTAACCTTTGTCTGGTCAGCTGTTTCTGGGGGTTAAACCAGCCCAGTCTTAATCCCTTTGATCATCAGTCAAAAATATGGAACACTTCACGAATTTGCGTGTCATCCGTGCGCAGGGGCCATGCTAATCTTCTCTGTATCGTTCCAATTTTAGTATATGTGCTGCCGAAGCGAGCACCATAGTGTCATGCCTCTCATGTCTACGACTTCTTCCTCATTATATCTCTGACTGATCCTTTTTATTGCCCCTTACACACACACACACACACACACACACACACACACACACACACACACACATACTGGTCTAGCCTCAGCCAATCTTGATTGTTCAGCCCCAACAGTGGTCTCCAAGGCTAGACCTTGACCACATCCTATTTCTTCTCAATTTAAAAAATTTTTATTTTATGTGCTTTAGTGGTTTGCCATGGGTGTTGAGTCCCCTGGAACTGGAATTACAGACAGATGTGAGCTGCCATGTGGGTGCTGGGGATTGAACCTGGGTTCTCTGGAAGAGCAGTCTGTGCTCTTAACCACTGAGCCATCTCCCCAGACCCCACATTCCTTTTCTTGTTGGTGCCTGCTGTTGGGGCTTCAAGGAGAGAGCAGAGGGTTCAGACACTCCCAGCCATGCTGACTTTGATTAGTGTCTGCCAGAATCCAAATGCAAATGAATCCAGCACCCATCTGGGATGGGGCTTAACTCAGAACAAACACTTAATGGCATGTATGAGTTATTTCTACCACATAAGTTTAACTGTCCTGTCCTTATAGAATAGAAAAGTGGCATACCCAGTCTCCCTGTCTCCTGTCAGGACTATTTAGCCACAATGAAAATTTGGTGTTTACTGGCTGAGAATAACCAGGCAGTACAGACCCAGCTCTGACCCCCACTTCTGAAAGCGCTGCCTTGGGCCTTCAGGAAAGAGCCAGTCTAGACACTGACTGGCCTGGTCTGCACTGGGTCTTTAGCAAAGCTTCTTCAAGCCTCTTGTGTCATCACCTGTCAAATGAGGCTGTGAATAGCTCATTCCCTGGCAAGGTGACAACAGCTTTTGAGGGCTCATGTCAAGTTCCCATGAGTGCCCAGGGCACAGCCAAGTCCTGTAAATGGCAGATATAGCTGTCACCTCTTTGACCCTGGGCTTCCTAGAAGCATACCCCCATGACAAAGAAAAAGTCGGGGTTGTGTTTTTGAAAGATGATCCAGGAAGTATAGAGGGGAGTGGAGAGCAAGAGGGAAAAGAGAGGACAATCTATAAAGGCCTTGAGATAGCCGGCTGCGTCCATGGTGGCTGCACTTCAAGCCCTTGAGGAAAGTGAGCCCTGTAGAGCAACCCTTAGCAGACCCCTCCCTCTGTCTCTGTGTTCCCTTTGTCTAAGTCTCTACATTCCTTTTATTGCCAGTAGGACTAAATAACTGGTAGAACTGCTTAAAATGGAGGAAACGTTCATTTTGGCACTTATTTTTAAGCCTGTTTTTAATATGGCTGAGCTGAGCAGTTTGTGTCTTGGGACCAAGAAACAAAATGGATGAGGAAATTTGTTCTCAGTTTGTCTCAGTGTCCTTTCTACTGCTGTGATAAAAAACAACGTGACTAAAAGTAACTTGAGGAGAAAAGGGCTTATTTGGCTTTCATGTTCTGATCACGGTCCATCAAGAAGGGAAGTCAGGGCAGGAGCCCAAGGTAAGAACGAGGCCATGGAGGAACACTGCTTGCTTGCATGCTCCACATAGCTTTCTCAAGCAGTTTCTCAGACACCCCAGTATCACCGTCTCTAGACTGTTTATACCTAATACAGTGCAAACGCCATTGGCAATAGCAATACTGTATTCATATTTTCAATCATAAGTTGGTTAAATCCATGGATATGGAACCCTTAGATACAGAAGTCTGACTGTGTGTATGCAAGGTCCTGCCCACACCATCGTAGTAATTCTTGGACCCTGAGAGGTCCTATGTGAGCCCTTGGGATGCTTTGACTGATAAGAGCTTCTGTTAATCTTTGAGGATTGGACCATGTCATGCAATCTGATATGGGACCTGTGACAGGGACTTTCAGTCACATGGCAGGAGCTCATACTCTGCAGGCTTTGTGGACTAAACCGGAATGCTGGCAGTAAAGGCACGCACCACCACAGCCCAGTTACATCCTTTTTTGTCTTTGTTTTTGCCCAGGACGGTCTCCAACTCCCAGCAATATCATTGATACTCTGGCCTCAGCCTCCAAAAGGGCTAGAGTTACAAATATGAACCACCATGCATGGGTCTACATGCTTAAAAATAATGTTTAAGTCTTGTGTCTTAGGGTTTCTGCTGCTATGAAGAGATACCATGGCCAGCACAACTCTTATAAAGGAAAACATTTAATTGGGATGGCTCACTTACAGTTCAGAGGTTCAGTCCATTATTGTCATGGAGGGGACATGGTGGCATGCAGGCAGATATGGTGCTGGAGAAGTAGCTGAGAATCCTACATCTTGCAGGCAACAGGAAATGGTTTGAAACACTGGGTGGTATCTTGAACAAAAGATACCAAGCAAAAGGTGGTATCAAAGTCTGTCCCCACAGTGACACCCTTCCTCCAACAAGGCCACACCTACTCCAACAAAGCCACACCTCCTAATAGTGCCACCCTCTTTGGGGGGCAGTTTCTTTCAAACCTTTTTTCCCTAAGTAGTAACAGTTGTAGGGTCAAAAGCCACCAAGTATTCACTGAGGGTAGGGGGACTAGAGAAGTCTTCAGGTCAGCCTTCCTCCCACAGAGAGTGTTGGTAATTGACTAGCTGGGGCTGCACTGAGCCGCAGAATGGAGAGGATTTTCATAACAGCTTCTATTTCTCTTCTGCAGTAACTGTAACTCAGATGGTGGTAGGGTTTAACCTGGCGCACCTCCCTTAGGAACAGACTCCTCGCTGTGTGGCCACGCATTCCTAGTTTGTGGGTGCTCTTTGGTGTTAATGAGAAACATCTGAACTCTGGAGAACTCAAATCCCTCAGAGAAATGCCTCCAATACAAGTCTCCCCACGATAACAGCCCAGACTAGGCTGTGGCTCAGTTGGAAGAGAGCTTGCCTGGCATGCATGAAGCCCTTGGTTCAATCCCCAGCACTGCATAAAACTGGGCATAGCCACACATGCCTGTATTCCCAGCACATGGGAGGTGGAGGCAGGGGTCATCCTTGGCTACTTAGGGAGTTTGAGGCTAGCCTACATGAGGCCCTGTCAAAAAACAAAACAAAGAATCCACCTTCCCCAAGCTGTGCCCAGAATGTTTTTACTGCCTTCTTTCCTGCAGCTCCCAGGAGTCATCCACCTTGCCCTCTGTTCTCAAGGTCCAGCCTCCTCTGCCTCCCATGTGCACCCCCTGAGGCATCAAGCCCCTTCCCTCTTCTTCCCTGCCTCCTCCCAAAAGACACCAGCCCCTAAGGCTGAAAACTGTCCTGGTTTGCCTTCTCTTGCTAGGATGAACACCATGACCAAAAGTAACTTGGAGAGGAAAGGGTTCATTTTAGCTTGCAGGAGATAGCCCATGATTTAGGGAAATCAAGGCAGGGACCTCAGAAGAACAATGCTTTCTGGTTTGCTCCCAGGCTCACTGTCCGCAATTTTTGTCACACAGCCCAGGCTATTTGTTTCATAATGATTTTGCCCACATTGGGCAGGGCCCTCCTATGCCACTTGGCAATCAAGAAAATCCCCCATAGATTATATCACAGGCCAATCAGATGGAAGGGATTTCTCAGTTGCAGTTCTGTCATGCCAAGTGTGCCAAGCTCCTAACCAATGTTTTCCATCACACCTTTCAGTTGGCTCAGTTTCTGGCCCGGTGGAAGGAAGATTCTTGAAGTGCTCCACTGTCTCCTGACTA